TTTATATATTTATGTATTTATATATTTATATATTTATATATTTTATATTTATATATTTTATATTTATATATTTATATATTTTATATTTATATATTTATATATATACACGAATTAATATAAGTATAATTTAGTTGTAAATTATTATTAGAATATCCTAATAGTTTAGTGGTTGAAGTATTAGTTACTCAACTTTAAGTGTACTTAGTGTTCGATTCATTGCTAATGACAATTCTTTTAGTTTAATATAATTTACCTACGGATAGTAATTGTAGTAATTACCGTAGGTAATGTACACTTTACCTACTGTAATCAGGTAATTACGTAGGTAATGTACAATTTACCTACGGATTTTCATCCATGGGTAATATCCGTAGGTAATGTAAAATTTACCTACGAAATTTTATCCGTAGGTAATATTCCGTAGGTAATAGGCTTTTTTTTTTTTTGTAGTGTATTTGTTTTCTTAGGGTTTTGTTTTTCCTTCTTTGATGAAAACATGATATGAAGAGGCGACAGGATAAGGGGTGTTGTATCTGCAAAGATCTTGATTTTGTCTGTTATGATATGTAGACGACAGAAGTAAAGAATGGGAAACAAGCTTAAATTACGCTGATGTGGTTGTGATTTTGAGTTTCTTTCGCAGTTTGCTCAGGAATTAAAAGAGGTTTCTTTTTTACTTTGATTAAACTTTTGTTAAGCCATTGTAATTTTGACCTTCTTATATTCTTCTTATGTTGTCCAATGTGGTAAAAAGGTTATTTTGTTATGGATGTTATTTTTATTTAATATAGCCTGATTTTAATGATTAAAATAAATACTAGCAAATTGAAAAGTCTAATTTAGGAAAAAAATTAACTATATTCGTTATTTTTTTTAATTAATATTAAAATATTCTTATTAATTGATATGAATCAATCATAAAAGAACAAACAAATATTTTTGACAAAATAAATATTAAATTATAAATCTTTCTTATTTATAAGTTTTTAAAATTTTAATTAATATAAGATTAAATATACTTGGATTTTCATGAGATGATAGTCTATTATTATAGTTTGTTTCTTTTTAATCACCAAAATGGTTTTTTAGAATGATGATATTATGTAAATGAAACTTTACTAAGATAATTAATTTGATATTTTTAATTATATATTATATTAATAAGATATTTTTAATATTTTTTCTTGACTCTTTCAAAATAGCATGAACAAAGTAAGATTTTTAAAAATAAAAATACCAATTGATTTTATTTTATTTTATTATACTTAATATAATTTTTTCTATAATTGTTTTAAAAAATAGCTTGTTTTCAAATTTTTGTTATTAAACTTATGTTTTAAATATATTATTTTGTAATCATATTTTTGTTTTGAACCTTTATATATATATATATATATATATATATATATATATATTACCAAAATAAGAAAATATTAAATTTTTAATTATTTTTTAAATTATCCACAATTTATTTTTCAAACCTATGTCATAAGGAGTTCACCAGTTCGCAGGGCAGGTATGGATAAGTTTTTAAATACGTATATGATGTATGTTGAAGTCAAATTCTTAATAATGTATTTAAGAAATATGATTATTTATTAATTGTATCACACCATATGATCAAGGACAAAACTATGATTATGAAATATTTATATTTTTAAAAAGATAAAATCAAATAATAGAGATTATTCTTTTATAAAAATATTAAACATTATTTAAAAGATCTAAAATTGTATCACCATTTCATGTATTAATAAGAACGGTCATAAAGTTATTTTGAAAATTGATATTTTATTAACCACATCTTTTTACGAAAATTATTCTTAATTATAAAATAAATTATGTTATTTATAGTTTTTTCAAAAAAACAAAAAATATTTTATTTATTATTAATTAAGAGTGAAACTACATGTATTGATTAAAAAATATTAATAAAAAAATTACAAGAGTTCTTTCATTTTTAATTTTTTAAACAGTTTCTGAGAACAATTGTGTTAAACAAATCATTATATTTTTATTTTATTTTTTTATTAAAAATATTAAATAAGATTTTTTCTGTATTTATTTTAAAATAATAATATTTAAACCATTTTTCAAAACTAAAAATCAAAGTTAAATCAAATAACTCCTAAATAAATAAAGATTAAAATTATAAAATAATGTATAGTAAGGATTAAAAATTTAATTAATATTTTTAACTAGTTCATCCAGCTACTAACAACATTATAATTCACATTAATTTAAATCTTGTGGACTGAAGCCATTAATTATCACATAATGTGAATTATTTTTTATGAATAATAGCAATATTACTGTTTCTAAGGCAATATATTTATAATTGTACTAAAGTTTTGAGGTTTGGCAATGGTGTTATGAGGCAAAATTAGAAGAATAAATTATGATAATATTATGGAGATCCAGAACAAATCATTATTGCAAATAAAATACATGTTTGCTTCCTACCTAAAGTAACACCCCCACCACTTGAATATATCATTATTCTCAAGTTTTGGATTTTTTCAGAACTTGTCTTCTCCAATTATCAACCTAATCTTTTGTTCACATTTCTCACTACCATTATATCAATCCATCAAACTCTAATATTCTTCTCTTATCCAAATCCCAATTTTTATTTTAAGAGATTTTTGTCATATTCTTCTTCTTCTTATTATTTTAATTATTATGCTGATGCAGTGAGAATTTCTAGAAGCTTGGGTGTATATATATATATATATATATATATATATATATATATATATATATATATATATATATATATATATTAAATGACAAAAATGTAGAAAATGAATGAGTGGAATGAATGCTTAATAAAATTCAATCAATGTAAGGTCATGGTGATTTTCAGTTTTAGGTTTTGGGAACTTCAAAAACAAAAACAATTTATGATCTTTGTAAATTATTGTATATGATTTATTTAATGTATAAAAGAAAGAATGAAAATATGTGAATGTAATGCAGACAAATTCTTCAAAACTACTTTTTGTTTTACCTTCTTGGGAAATTTCTTTTATTTTATTTTTAGTTTTGGAATAAACTCAAATTTTTTCTAATCATATTGAAGTTAGTTTAAGTGTAATTTATAGATGATAGTGATAATAAGTAAAAATTATTTTTGTAATATGAGAATATTTCTAATAATAATAATAATAATATATAACGATGGTTGTGATAATATTTAACAAAAAAATAAATATTTGTTTAATTTTAAATTTAAACCTAATGGCGTTTTAAAAACTGAATTACACGTTATTTAAATTTTATTTCGGTCAAATATCATGGGTGGTGATAATATTGGTGGAATACTTATTCATTTTTTTATTTTTTAATCTTTAAAAATAATTTAGAGATAAATTGAAAAAAAACATATTTTTATTAGGGATAATATTATTGGGGTACAAGATGGAGTATGGGGATGCAGAACCCAAATTAAAGGTACAAGCAAAAGAGCCTGGCAAGGCCCAAAAGAAAGAACCCAAGAAGAGTTTCTAATTTATTAAACGTATTGAATATCAAATGCTTATAAGTAATAACATGTAAATTTAATAATATCATTTGCATATTAAATAATTTAAGAAAAACGAGTGAATAAAATATTTATTGATTTATTTTTTATTTTTGAAACAGATTAATTCCAATTTTGAATAAAAATAAAAATAAAGATCGAAACAAAATTATTCTTATCATAGTTAAGTATGATGTCACACATTTATTTCAGATATTATTTAATGTGGGACTCTTTTATTAAATAAAAAGATGTGTGATTTTCATTTTTTAATTTCTTCACAAAATCATGAAAATTAAACATCACAAACTTTGGAAACATATTTCAGTGATTTTGTAACAACTTGAGGTTGTTAGATTAGAAATACACATTTTACATTAAGAGGAGTTTTCTTCAAGATAGTGTTGGGGGCTCGAGCAGTGGTGCTTCGCGCTAAGCGTAACGATAAGTTTTCCTTATCCTCGATAAATTTACTTATGCTTCCTCCATAGAGAATTTTTGTAGTTTTTTTTTTATCTGTGGGCCCTACTAATAGGATTTTTATGAACTCGCGTGTTGATGGAGAGGATTTTATACTTCTTTATGAATGTTTGTTTAATGAATTAGAAATTTTTGTTACCTTTTACCAATTTTGAGTGTGGGATGATGACTATTCTTCGAGTGGCCCTGAGTTAATTGCACCTAACAACTAGACATTTTTGAAAGCCTTTCCGATTTTGTACTTCTTTCATAGTTTAAAAGCATATGGAAATGTGTTTATGTATTTCTACCCGTAGAAGTATGACTCGAAGTTCGGTTGGGTTTCCTAAATAGGTCTTAACATAACGAGTTATTTTCCCTGTACACCCAGTAATTTAAGAATTTCGAGTTAAGCCCTTGTGATCGGTCCATATTTTTATTTTTATTATCGGAATAATTTTCAATTTTTCGCTTTATTGAACTATCCTATGAAGTTTAAGCCTCGAGTTCACCATTTATTCACCGCCAAGAACAAGCTGATTATAACTACTCTTACGGATTCCATCATACAACTTCAATTTTTTTTCTTTTTTTTTCTTTTCTTAAAACTCTCTCCATATTTGTTTATCTTAAACACAATAATATATATAATATAATATAATATAATTTAATTGGTGAGATCCTAAAAATATTATCTATGGGGAATCTAACTACTTTTTATTTGATTTAAAATAAAAACAAATTTCAGTTATATATAATTTAAGGTAAATTTAATTGTTATTCTTTATTTTTTACATTGTTCGAATTTAGTGGAATACGCGTGAAAGGGAAAACGAGGGATGACGGGTGATATTCGTAGAATCGAATAATCGTCTTTGATGAACCGATTGCCTCAGTAGGATCCGATCTTCTAAGGTTTTGTCAGAAGAGCATATTTTGAAGCAATTGTTCTTGTGGGCAAACGTTAACTCTTTCCGATCCCTCTAAAAATCAATTTTCGGTTTTTGGATCGGTGGGAATGGAAAAGGTGATGAACATTCTGAAGCCGAAGCCAAATCCGCAGCAACTATTGAGGGATTGGCAGCGCAGACTTCGCCAAGAGTGTCGTAACATTGAGCGCCAAATTCGTGGTATTCCTTCCTCTCTTAAACCCTAATCAATTTCATTTTATATTTGGTTTTGGTTTGCTTGATTTTGTGTTTATGGGTTTCTATTAGATATACAGAGAGAAGAAAAAAATGTGCAGAAGGCGATCAAAGAAGCTGCAAAGAGGAATGACATGGGCTCTGCAAAGGTTTGCTCTTTCTTGTTCTTTTGTTTTTGACTTGTGATTTGTTTATTTGATATTAATTTACTATTGTCATTGTTAGTGCCAGTGAGCTTTTTAAACACTTTTGTTGGTACTCTCAGTCAATAATTTGACTGAGTTTGAGGGATTGAGAAATGTGTGTATTTCACCTTCTAAATTTGTTTGTTGAATACCTGAGTTGTGAGCAGAGTTGGTCCTAAGTAGAAGGAAGAATATCTGATGGTTTCCTTTATTGAATGTGGAAGATATTATTTTATTTTTTTATCACATATTTTCGTGCTACTCCCTAATGCTTAACTTGCTGATCAGGGGATAGTGTATTGTTTTCTTGTGTTCCGTTGGATGCCTGAAGAAAGGAGGCAGGGGACGGGAGAAAACCTTGGGTTGGAATGTTGATGTATTGTGTGTTTGTGTTGAATCTAAAGAACTGTTGGATTGGCCAATTGGACTAGTCAAGGATTGAAGGCACAACTGAATTGTTATTTAGCTAAAAGTTTGTATGGATAGTGTCTGTTCGTGGACTTGTTAGGATTAGTCACAATATTCAAAAACCGAATGATGAAGTTATTTTTGGTTTCATTTGTGTTTGGCCTTCTAGGCAGTAGTATGTTTTACCTTTGGACATTTCAAGGTTCAAAGGATACGGTCTGTTTTTTGAGAAAAAATTCTCCTTATTGTGGCATTTGTAATTTGCAGGCACTTGCCAAGGAACTTGTGAGATCCAGGCAAACTGTTAACCGGCTTTATGAAAATAAAGCACAAATGAATTCAATATCGATGCACCTTGGCGAGAGTGTTGGTATGTTTTTATAGTTATATTAGTTGTAACTTAATTTTTCCTTGTAACTGATAAGTACTGTCGAAGATAGTTTCTTGTGTTTGATACTAGGTTTTTGATAATTGATCCTTAATTGAAGAGCTTGAATTTTCTTTAATCTCTCTTGTTAACTGAATCGTGTGGATAAATCTGTCCACATAATTGAATTCGTTGATGATTGATTTTTTGGTTGATGAAAATGTTCCCCTGACTATTCGGTCCTTCTTTCTATACTTTTGGGTAGAGAGGGGATAGTTATCAGGATCTTAACATTTGTGCTGTTGAAAAAGAAAAATTCTCAACATGACTCGCCTGACTGTTTGACTACTTTTGTTCTGTTTTCTACTCCACCATTGCTCTCTGTTTTCAGTTCTATCTTCTGCATTTCAGGGCTACAGTTGTTACCAAATTTGTCTGTTATATTATGAATTCCAATTTGTCCGCTATATCTTATTGTTTTGTAATTAGATTTTAGTTAAGGATATCTTTGGTAGGATAGAAATAGCATGGAAATTGAGAGGAGGGAGAGCAAACAGAGGGAGCTTTTAAAATTGTGGTTGTTTGGTAAGATGAAATACCATGGAAAGAATTTAAAAGTATGCAAATAAAAATATTTGCGCTCAGAAGAGAATAAATAGCAGTAAAATTGTGAGAAGAAAAATCAGTGCGGTAAATTAATCCTATCATGACTCGTAGGCCATGATAATGAATTTGATGTGTGGCGGCCCATGAAATTTACCCTTGAATTCTAGTCTGGATTCTTTCTGGATTAACAGTAATAGTATGTTTGTTAGAAGGAAAGAAATAGAGGGAGAGGAGGTAGGCAAAAAAGAAAATAAAAGAAGAAAAAATAAGTGACAAATAAAGTAATAGAGTAGCAATTCAATTTTTAAAATTATTTAGTTTTAAAAATAGTATTATTAATACTTTATTATTATTAATTCATTATTTATTATATTTACACATGTGAGGGGGCAGGTTAAAATAAAAAACTATTTGTCTGAGGAGGAAATGGTTTAATTAAAAAAAAGTGGGGGAGATTTTCAGTGTTGGTTGTTCTGTTATCAGCTTCGGATAATTGATTATAGCGCAAGCTTATATATTAGCAACATAATATGTCAATATAATTGATTATGTTGAGTCAAAAAGTGTACTTCCACCCATTTCTTTGTTCAACCGTGTGGAAATTTATTGTGGTTGGTCCCTCTGGTTTTTTTCACATATCTTTCCATATATATTCTACCAAACCACCACTATTCTCTCATTTTCACTCTCTTCTTTCCTCTCGCCTTCCATTTCACCTGTACCAAACACTACCTTAAAGTTTGAATTCTTTGTAATGCTGCAGTACATTTTAGACCTCATATGCAAGTCTGGATTCTATTTGGTAGATATGTTTGTTTTTGTTTGGGTTAAATAAGTTTTGGTAGCTCCAACATTTAGTAAATATGAAAATTTAGTCCTGACAATAAGTTTATTGGTCTTGAATTAACAGTGTTGACATAATTATCATAATGAGATATTTGCTAGCATACTGGCATGTGGTACTCTCAACATTAATATGTCAACTCCATCACTGTTTGGACCGAATTAACATATTTATTACATGTTGAGCTTCAAAAACACTTAAAAATTTTGGAGGCACTAATTTTAATATGTGCCAATTTTGGAGATACCAAAAACTTATTCAACCCTTTTTGCTTTATATTTGATTTTCATATTTAAAATTGTTTCTCACACCATCTTTTTTCTGTAATCCATTTTTTATTTTATAAAATTATGAAAATAAAAAAAGCAAACATTTATTTGTTATATACTCTTTTACAAATAAGAGGTAATTTTATTTGCATAACTGAACTTGAGTGGCAAGTAAATCATCAAGTACTTTCCTTCTTTGGTAGATATATGATAAAAAAAAAATCAAATCAAAACAGAGAATAATATGATAGTCTATGGAAACTGTATTATTGAATATATGAAATGAGCAACCCAGGTGCAACACAATATAATATCTTTCCAGGGTCTAAGACTTCTCTAGAGAGACAACTCTCCTTACCCTATTCCATAACAAACTCTCCGTGCTCCTCTCTCTTTCCTCCTCTCTCAAATACTTGAATTCCCACTAATTTCATATTCTTTTCCACGTCATTACCCTCCTAACTAATTGATATTCTCTGGGCCTGCTTTCTTTCTTCTAGAATAAACATTCCATACTTTGGGCCTTCCACTAACACGGTCTTCTCCACTACCTTTTTCCTGCTATATCAGTCCATCCTCAAGTGTTCTATCATTCTTCATGTATGTTGATATGACTCAAATTCTACAACTACCTTTAATTTTATTAATCTAAAATATTAAATAAAACTGTAAAATTAATTTCATACGAAATCAAAACAAGATTATAAAAGGTAAAACTCCATTGTAACTCACGCCTCCTTGTAGTGAATCTTTATCGTATACTATGGGGAGGAAATTGTTCTGCCCAATTTGTAAGCTGAGTGGGGGGTCTTTACAACCAAGGCAGAAGGACTATTAGGCTAGATTCTTTTTTTTATTATTATTATTTATTTGGCTTGATGCAATAACTACTGTGACAAATCATATACGTGTAATATTGTCAAGGTACCTGTTTATTACAAATAGTTATATAAAATATTTAGATGAATCAGTTTCTGTTTTAGCTGTGAACTCTTCTGCAATTAGTCATCATGACGGATCTGTGTTATGAGAATTTTTTTCTTTGAAAATTCATGATTTTTGTTGTCTATGCAGCAATTGCTCGTACAGTGGGACATCTATCAAAGAGTGCTGAGGTTATGAAGCTTGTCAATAACCTCATGAAGGCTCCTGAAATGGCTGTGACAATGCAAGAGTTCAGCAAAGAAATGACGAAGGTAAGCCTGCAAAATCCTTTTAGCTGAGTGGAAGAATACTTAACCACTACTCCTGTCCTCCCTTGTGGTTAGAGAAGATAGTTGCATTGGTATTTGTGAGTAATGTTGTCTCTTTCAGGCAGGAGTTATCGAGGAGATAGTAAATGATGCTGTGGACTCAGCACTAGATTCCGAGGACATAGAAGATGAGATAGAAGAGGAAGTCGATAAAGTATTGACAGAAATAGCAGGCGAGACTGCCGCACAACTTCCTGAAGCTGTGAGGAAAGAAAGGGTGAAACAACCTGGCCAAAGTGTTGGAGCCTCAGAGGTATGTTCGATTATAGCTCACTTTCTTTATAAACATGGCCCTTTCTTGCCTCACACATACATCAATTAAGAAATTCATTATTATTTGCAGGAAGAAGCTATAGCGGAGGGTGTTGACGATGAGGAAGAAATGGAAGAAATAAGGGCCCGACTTGCTAAAGTTAGATCATAAACAAGTTTCTAATCTCGCAGCCTCTACCTTGTACTCTGGTGTGTTATAAGAGAGATGTTGACAGGTTTGTATCTTATTTATTGAAAAAGATAATTGATAACACTAATGAGAAATATAATATTTTGAAGGGGAGCTCGTATGTAATTACACCAAGTTCTTGAAAGTGTCTCAAGATATATTTTTTTTCTTCTATGACAAGATAATAAGCTTAAAGTAACTTCATGCATGGTTCCGTATTTGTTGCATAACATAATGGCTTCAAGCAAAACTTAGTTAATTTCATTTTTAATAGTTAATAATTTTATTAATTAGAAGCTTATGAGGTTTGTTCTTTTGAATAAGTCTTGAAATTCTGAAAGATTTGCATATGCCGTACATATCACTTGATTCAAATCCTTGGGAGATTTTGAAGAATTATCAGCATTCTTAGTCAGCACATGTTTTTCTTAGTATTTAGTTTTTATCTAAAATATTGCCTAATATTTACATTAGCATATAGTTTGAGAAAACAGGTTTTCTGACCTAGTTTTTATTTTGTTTTTCTTGTCCAAGGGGATATTCACCATCTTTTACAAAAGAGAGGGTTAAGTTGTTTTTTTGCTTCTTTTCTAATTTTTTACTTTTTTTTTATACGCATTTTCAAGGCAAATCAAGTAATAGAAACGGAGAAAGTTGAAGTTCTGAAAATGCAAGGAAGAATAAGAAATAGAAATTGAAAGTACAAAACTAAATTAAGAAATGAATTTTTTTATGTTTTTACTTTTGTTTTTTTTTTTTAAGTAATTTCAATATGGTTACATATTACAATTTTTGTGTGAGAACATGGGATAAAAAATAAATATTGTCGACAATATCTAAGAGAGAAAGAGACTATCCTACATATGTTGTTTATTTCTGTAAGAATGTACTCATTGCACTTATTTATTATGTTGTTTATTTATGTAAGAATGTACCTATAGCACATGATTAATTATGAGAAGGTAAGAGAATTAATTCACCAAGGAAACTTTATAGAAAATGACACTGTTGTGAATGAATTTAAAATGGGTAATTGGTGGTGTTATTAAAACAATATTTTTTCTGTTTTCATTATTCTCATTTACACCCTTTGTTGGCTTGTAAGTTTGTGACATTCTTGATTCTAAAATTCCATCTTAAAAACGCCCACCTTATTTGCCACTTTTCCAATCAATAGCTGCAAATTGAAAGCAGAGCACATAAATAGCTATGCAAGATAATCGTTTGTGAGACGTTGGTAGAATATGTAAAAGTTATGATTTATTTTGTGATGAGGATAAAAAAAGTTATTTTTATACATTAAATCACTTAATGTATTTTACTAACTAATTTCTTCATAAGGTAATAGTATATTTATTTTTCCTTACTTGATAAACAACCTTAAATTTGTGCAACAGTTTTGTTTATTTATTTATTTTTATAAAAAAGTACATGTTAATAAGTATTGCGAGGGATGAAATTGTATCTAGGTTAACACTTCAATCTCATCAATTATATGTAGCCAACATGGATTACCATATCAAAATAAAATAATGGAGACCAGACCACAATCCATTAAAAAAAAAATCTTTTTCTAAAAAGCTTTAGATTAATACTAAATAGCATAACAGAAACCATTCAAATGTAAGTTTATTGGGCATTACCCATATTAGTAATAATGTCAGCATAACGATTAGTCTTCCTATAAAAGTATTATAGATATACATTACTTTATAAAGTTTCATGTTTTTAAGTTATCTCCTCTTATTTAAAGAATCATATCAATATTTTTAAACATTATATAAAAAATGCTTAAAATAAATATGCATACTAATCAAATTAAAAATATATATTTTCTTTTATAGGTCAATTTGTTATTATAAAATAAATTGACCTATATATATATATATATATATATATATATATATGTTTATTTTAATAACTCTTAATTTAATAATTTGTTTTTTTAATATATATTTTTTATAAATATTAAAAGATAATATTTATGATCATGCAAATATTTAATTATATAAATTATGCATAAATGTAAATGATGTATTATTGATGGTAACGGATAGAGTATGTTTTATCTTATATTAAGATTGTAGATAGATATCTCAAAACTTATTTATTTATTTGTCATTTATTAAAATAATTTTTTTAATCATATTTGAGATAATAAATATGTTAAATTAAGGTTAAGAAAACTGTTAAAGCTGAGTTTCAATTAGATCAAAGTAAACAAAATAAAAAATGAACCACATAACATAGTTTTTTTAAAAATGCGGGAAAAAAATTCAAAATCACACATAGAAAACTAAAAGGGATTAAAATTATTATTTAATATTTCATTCATTACTATTCACCATCAATGTTACAAAATGATGCATGAATTAATTTAATCAGTGTTTTGAAGTTTAAAAATTATATATATATATATATATATATATATATATTAAATTTATAAAAGAAAATATTTATCATTGTAAAGTGATAAATGAGACAAATTAATTCCTTATAATAAAAATGAGCTAAATATTTTAGGTTTCAGATTTATGATTTAAGTTAAGGTTTAGAAATTTTACTAAAAAAATAAATTTATTTAATGATTCACTACTATTTTTTTTAAATAAGTAATTTGTGAACAAATTCGATTTAATTTCTATGGTTATGATGTGATATTTGTTGGAAGAGTGAATCTACCATAAAATTGTTTTAAAAATAATATTTTTATTATAGGTTTTAATATTTATAAAACAACCTTTTAAATGTGCAATGGAGAGTACATAGTAACAAGATGGAATGAATTATCACAAATCCATATTTTAGTACAATTAATAAATACTGATATTAATGGTTAGTATGAAAACAACAATAAATCATAATTTTTATTTATGTATTCAACCACAAGTTATGATAATCAAATTCATCATAGATAAAATTCAAGTTATAAATAATTATATCATTACAGGTTTTTTTAAATGTTTGTGTTATCATTTAATAAATTATTTATCTTATATTTTCTTTCTCTTTGATTTTATCAATCACAATTTTTTTCTTAATTTCTCTCTTTTAAATATAAATAAAAATAATAAAAAACTGTATTAAAATATGGACACTCAACCGTATAAACCCTTCAAATTAAAAAATATTTTTCTCTACTTTTATGTTTTGTAATGTTTTCAACAAAACTCACTCTTCTTTTTTATATTTTTATTCATTTCAGCATTTTGTAAACTTGGATCAGGGTGTTTCCTCTAGTAACTTATAATACCGTTTCTTCTACATAAATGTGTGTGTATATATATATATATATATATATATATATATATATATATATATATATATATATATATATATATATATATATATATATATATATAAAATAAACTATACTGGTTTTTCTTTTAAGCTTTTTTTTCTTATTTTAAAAATGACTACTGTTCTCAATTTGAATAAAATATGATTTTTATTCCTAATTTTCCTATAATAAATTACATCTATTTTTATTTGTAACAAATAAAAGTAATATATTTAGATAATGCAATTTTTAAGAATAATTTTAGCAAATGTCACGATCATTCTTATTCTTAAAAAAAAAAATCTTAATTTTAACTTTGTATTAGTTATGCACATGAGAATCCCAAAATGCTCAATACATAAATACAATATTTTAAAGGGATATTAAATGCAAATTTAATATTATTATGAATATAAGAAAAAAAGTATGTGTGTAGTATAGTTAATTTAATTTAAAATGCTATTTTAAATTTCATTTTATTCTTAATTTTTTTAATTTTTAATTTTTTATTCCTTTTTAAATATATAAAAATCATAAAAAATTTAAATTATAATATTTATATTTTCTCGTTCCGACAACACTAAAAGAATAATTATATATATAAATATCATTTATATATAATTATAAATAACAAAAAATAATTTTCAAAAATAAAAATAATATTAAATTTTATCATATTTTTAATAAAGTAATTATTTTTTTTTCATTTTTTCTAAACACAGTACCTTAATATAAATTAGTAATATATAAAAAAGGACTTCTCTCCGCTGTTTCTACTGTTCTCTTAGGTTTAACTAGTAACATAGTAAAAGTAGTATTTTTTTTTTAATTTTAAGAATAAAATAATAAGAAAATGTGTAAAAAAAATTACAAAAAAATTCTTTATTCATTATTAATGAAAATTCACAGATAAAAACTTTAGTGTTATTTTTATTATTATTTTTAAATATTATTTTGTTTTTTCTTTTATTTTTTAAATATATTCACTTTGCTTCATTAGTTGTATATTATTTTTCTCTCTGATATTTTTACTATTTTCAAGTATATAATCATAATAAATTTTTTACTTCTATTTTTTCTAAAATAATTAACATAATTAAAAGAATAATTTTTATTATATTTTATCTAATTATTTATAAATCCAGTTATTGAATAATATTTTTATAATTAAATATTTAATTTATTTATATAAAATATGATATACTCATTAATGTAAATACGTTTATATTTAATGAATATTAAGAAAACCACATTATCATTAATTGCATACATAATACAAGTTCCTTTTATTTATTACCAAAATTTAACGACAATACTAAAAACATATAAAATGGTAGAAGTCAACACAAGAATTAATATATATATATATAAATAAGATAAATAAATTCAATGAAAATTAGTTGTTTAAATCAGTTTATGCTCATTTATTACATATATAATAAATAATTAAGTGAAATTTTTTAAAAAGTATAAATTAAAAATATAATATTTTAATTTTTATATATTTTTAATTTTTAATTAATTTATTCCTTTTATCTTATATTTATTATTTTTTTTGTTCTATAGGTTTGTACGATAATAATAATAATATATTGTTTTTCATAAAAATAGTGTGATTTTGATTTTAATAAATAATAAGATTTTATTTAAGATAATTTTTAATTTTTTTTCTATTTTTATTAAAAATGTTAATATTTTTATTTATTATGATATTTTTTATTAAAAATTTTGTTGACTTGAATAAACTTTCAATTTATTAAAAAAAGTGTTGATTGATTTAAATAAAGAAAATGATAAATATTTTGAAAAAGAATTAGTAAGTTAAAGTTTACAATTTTTGTAATAATATAAATTATAATATTACATTATTTTCAAATAAAAGAATATAAACAATATTTTATCTTATATAATGAAGATAATATAAAATTATTAAAATTTAGATAGTAAAAAAATTATAAAATTTATATTTATATGTTAATAAAAATTTTATATTAATCATATAATATTATTTTATTTACATTCTCTTAATTTTATTTTTACACATACAAAATTATGATTTAAAATTGTAGGTAAAAATTAGAAGTTAAAAAAAAAAACTCGATTAATAAAATAAAAATAATTAAGAAAAATACATAAATATATAAACTACTTATAAAATAAAAAAGAATTAATTCTATTATGAGATAAACAAAATGTATTTTAATACATAATAATATTATTGTTGCTATTAGTATTATAATATTAAAATGGGATCATCGATGGGATGTACCTGCACCGTTTTCTGATAAAATAATCAGTCCACCACTACGACATGCCAAAATGCCAGTGGTGAAAGCTTTGTGTCGCTAGTGCTATAAATTCTCAGTCATTGACACTCATATTCCTCGAATCAAACAACATAACATGGAATTAGGATCATTGCCAACCCTCTCCCATGTCTCTCTGTCTGTTGTGCTGCTCTTCTTCTTCTCACTTTCTTCCTCCTATGCAACTTCTCGCTTCACCCATCACCTTGCTTACCCACCACATTCACAAGCAGAAAAGTTCATTAGAAGCCTTAATCTGTTTCCAAAGGACTCAGCCAATAACAGTGTAAAAGGTGACAATGCTGGTTTTGTTCCAGGAAAGATCGTGGAAAAGAAGTTCTCGTTTTTTGGCGATTCTGGGCCTTCTGTTCAAGACCTTGGTCACCATGCAGGCTACTATTCACTACCTCATTCCAAAGCTGCTAGGTAAATCTATCCTTCTCTTCTAACTATAACTTTCTTTATCGTGATTTAATTAAGGTTTTATATCAATGTATTTGTCCCTGAATTTGGATAATTGTAAGTTTAATTATGAGTACACATTTGTTTTTGGTTTGAATTGGTTAATTAAATCCAAGTTGTATATCAATTTCACTTTTGATCAATTAATTAATTTGAATTTTGAACTTCTAATCCTAACCGGTTCCCATTTGCTTTGGTGTGACACACGCAGGATGTTCTACTTTTTCTTTGAATCACGGAACTCTAGAGATGATCCTGTTGTGATATGGTTGACTGGAGGACCAGGGTGTGGAAGTGAAATAGCTTTGTTTTTCGAGAATGGTCCCTTCCATATTGCCAATAACTTGTCTCTTACATGGAATCATTACGGCTGGGACCAGGTAATCTTCAATTTTCATCTTTCCTTAACAAAACTGTTACGTCAAAATTGTATCTTATTCATATCGACAATTGTTTTTCTAATAATTTTGCAGGTATCAAATATTATATTTGTTGACCAACCTATGGGCACAGGTTTTAGTCACTCCTCTGATGATAGTGACACTCCTCATGATGAAGTGGGTGTTGGCAATGATTTATACGACTTCTTACAAGTAATAATTATATACAGTCCTTCTTTCATTTCATTACCCCAATACAAGGTAATATCTTGTTATCTGTAAATAAGATCCACTAATAAATTCATATTACTATGATGGCAGGAGTTTTTCAAGCATCATCAAGATTTTGTTCACAATGACTTTTATATCACTGGAGAATCATACGCTGGACACTATGTTCCGGCACTTGCATCCCGGATTAACCAAGGAAATAAAAGAAAACAAGGAATCCATATAAACCTCAAGGTCTTTTACACTATTTCTGTTATAAGTTACAATCAAGGTTAACTAATTATGAATTGTTTTGTCTTGCTTTCTCTTGCGTGATTCATTTGAAATAGTAACAGGGTTTTGCTATTGGTAATGGGATGACAAATCCTGCAATTCAATTCCAAGCATATCCAGATTTTGCATTAGAGAATCGATTAATTAAAAGGGCTGATTACGATGAAATTATCAACTTTGTCCCGGGCTGTGTACAAGACGCTAAACTTTGCCGTACGGAGTTCTTTTCCCTTTATTACTCCTGCACATTCCTCTTGCTGATGTATATTTTTTCAATTTGTGATGTTTGTGTTTGATTTTTCAGAAACCCAAGGTGGAGAAAGTTGCGTGAATGCGTTAAATGTTTGTGAGAATATTTTCAATAGAATCTTGGTAGATATTGGCTTCAAAATTAATGTAAGTAGATCATGACATGAAAGTACTTCTCCCCTACTCAGTTTAGTTCGCTTAATGCATTTTTTGCTGATATGAAAATTGCAGATCTATGACATAAGAAAGAAATGTGAGGCAGGAGGTTTGTGCTATAACTTCAGCAGCTTGGTGACGTTTTTAAACAAGGAGAAAGTGAAAAGTGCTTTAGGTGTGCCTAAGGACTTCAAGTTTAATACATGCAGTACAGCAGTGAAAATAGCTATGCTGCAAGATTGGATGAAAAATCTGGAAGTGGGAATTCCTGCTCTTCTTGAGGATGGAATCAGGATGCTTTTGTATGCAGGGGAAAAAGATCTCATATGCAATTGGCTTGGTAGCCTACCTAATTCATTTCGGAACAACACTGTTTTTGTGCTGAAAAAGCTATATAAATGATAGATTGAGTGCTGGATGTGGTTCTCATTTGGCAGGGAATTCAAGGTGGGTTCATGCTATGGAGTGGTCAGGCCAAAAGGGCTTTGGAAGATCTCCTACAGTGAAATTTGTGGTTGATGGTGCAGAAGCAGGGTCTCTTACTAGCTATGGACCTCTCTCTTTCCTCAAGGTTTGTGTTTAGGATTGTATTATTGAGTGTGACACTGTTAATTTCACTCTTTCTTATAACTTTATTCATTTGATTTCAACAGGTACATGAGGCTGGGCACTTGGTCCCCATGGATCAACCAAAAGTTGCACTTCAGATGTTGAAAACCTGGATGGGAGGAAAACTGCACTAGAGATTGTGTAAATAAAATGAGATGGTTAATCACTCATAAATTCATATAACCAAAACCAAACATCCTCTGACATGAAAGTGATCACAATTGTTGTGTACATGACTTCGTGAATATTGGAGGGTTAACTTATATTGTTTCTGAACTTTCTGAGATTCCCCCTCTTTATACTGTGTTAATCACCTGTGCAACGTTTATCATTTCCGTATTTACTTTTTACAAGAAAATGCTAATTCTAGAATGAACAATTAAACATATTCAGCATCAAAACATGGCAAAACATAAACTTATATCAATTATACAAATTTATTTATTATATAGTATACAAATGTTTATTATATATATATATATATATATATATATTTATTTATTTACAGATTATTTATTCAAAACAGCTATTATAATAAATAATGTTATATGACATAAAATAAATAATTTGACTAAAAAATAATTTTGTAGACATCTTTTTATTTTTTTATATGTAGAGAGAGAAAAAGAAAGAATCCACTTATTTTATAAAAATTTAATCTTCATTTTGTTTATTATTTTTCTAATCTAATACTCTAAATGAATTAAAAAATAATTAATAAATATAATTTCTTGAAATAAATAGATTCTTCTTCGTAAAATTATTATTATTATTATTTTATATGCTAAATTAAGTGACTTATTGACTTAGACAGTTGTAAAGAAGAGAGGAATCATGTAACACTTTGGAAAGGTTTTAACCATAGATTAATATTTCATTTTAAGGTGAAAACGATTGAAAGAAAAAAACACTTTGGAAACGAAAATATTCGTGAAATTTTTAAAATTATGTAAGATAAATTTATAAAAACTAAAATGTCACAATTTTTTAGGGATATAAATCAATAAAATTAAAACTAATTTACAGACTTAAGGCTAAACTTTACTACCATTTTTTTTCCATGGATTATAAAAATTAAAGAACACTATCAAAAACTTAATGAATTATCGAGCATGTTGATGATTTACGTGTTTTTTTGGGTTGGATTAGATTTGGGAGAAAATGAGTTAATTATCATATGCTTGGATTTTTTAAGATTTTTTTTTTAAGAATTTCAAAATTAAAATAAACCAACCCAATATACAAAGAGTCATTTTGGTACCAACCCAATATATCATTTTTTTCTGAGAAAAAGAAAATAATAAATTTACCCAAAAATTTAAATATAAATATATCATTATAAAGATAAATAACATTTCTGTACTGTAATTTGTTCACATCAAACAGTATATAATAGAAAAAAATATAATTATATCATGAAACTTTATATATATATATATATATATATATATATATATATATATATATAAAATCATAAAAAACACAAAGTATTAATTTGAATCGGATTTATTCAATTTGTAAATTTAATAACATCTGAAATAATTACCATTATTGGTTTGATTAGGATATATAGAATCCGATTAAAACTAAAATTCAAACTAATTTGGTTGTTCTAGTACAAACCCACAGAAACAGAAAATAGAAGATAGAATTAATAAATGAAAGCTTTCTAACACACTTCTGTTGAAATTGTCTTTATGTTGATTAAAATTTAATGAATAATTTAATTTCTTTTAAAGATTTAACTTTTCATTTAATACATTAATATATGTTATTGATTAATGTTGAATTAAAATTATACTTTTTTTAATAAACTTTAATTCTCATTTAATAAATATTATGGATTAATATTTAATAATATATATAATAATTATAATGATAATATATATATATATATATATATATATATATATATTCTAACATTTTAAAATTATATAATGAGATCAACAATTTCGTATATTGTTGGTTGGATCTCAATATTATCGTATTGAGTTTTGTAGACATCTTGAATTAATAGAGATGATTATATAAACCAAAAATAAAAAAAGGAAAATTATTTTTAAAGTATAATAATAAAAACAATGAGAGATCAAATAAATATAATGCATGTATGTTTTGTATTTAATATTTAATATATATCATCATAGAGAATAAAGTAAAGGTGGTGGAACCGCTCTGAAATTAATGCATTTGGAATCACAAACTCTGAAAAGTGGTGGAACCGCGGTTTGCACCGCCACAGCTATAAATCCGCAACCATCGGCACGCTTTTTCAATCATAGCAAACAACATGAAGTTGGCAATGACATCAACACTTTTCAAAGTTTCTCTGTCTCTTGTCTTGATGCTCTTCCTCTCACTTTCTTCTTCTGAAGCAGTTTCTAGTGTCAAACATGACCATGCTTACCCACCACAGTCACATTCACAAGCAGAAAAACTGATAAGAAGCCTTAACCTATTTCCAAAGGATCCAGTTAACATTATTAAAGGTGACCATGCTGGTTTTGTTCCTGGAAATATCGTGGAGAAGAAGTTCTCATTTCTTGGTGATTCTGGGTCTTCTGTTGAAGATCTTGGCCACCATGCAGGCTACTATTCACTTCCTCATTCCAAAGCTGCTAGGTAAATATTTATTTCCTTCATTCTTTCTCATCTATAATATCATTAAATTTTCCTCTTGTTATGCCATTATATCATTATATCACTTCTTCAATCCATTACAAATTAGATTGGCATGGCAAAATGCTTGTGAAAGTCAGAGTAAATATCATACTTTTTAAATTGGATTAAATTTTTTAAACCTAAACCAACAAAATAATGTTTTATTTTAGCTTTAAGTCGTATCAAAAATGATATTATATTTATCTAATAGTATTTTATGTATTAATTATTATTATTATTATTATAAATTTTTTATTTTTATTATTATTATTATTATTATTATTATCATAATCATAATAATAATATTATTATTATTTTATTCCACCATTGACCAGTTTTTTTATTGATGAAATAATTGATTTGAATTTAAAACTTAGATAAACGGAGTTTAAAATATTTTTGAAAAATAAAAGAACTTTTTTTTATCTCCGTAAATGATGGTTGCGTAACATTTATTCCATTTTTAATTACTAGTTATTATGTATGAATTTGACTTGTCTAAAATAAGTAATACTCATCTTAAAGGATAAAATATAATAATAATAATAATAATAATAAGAATTATTATTAGTTTAAAAATCGTCATGATAAAATAAAATGAATATAAAATAAATTATAATATTAATTATAAATTTTTATTTAATATTTCTTACTGTACTTATCTTTAAATTATCCTCGCGCTTTACTATTTATTCCTAATTATTAGATAACTCAAATATAAATTGATATTTCGAGGAGCAAAAAATTGTCCCATAACTAATATGCTTGTGGATACAATTTAATATCATGATATCGCTAATACAGATTTTATATATTTAAGGCAGGATAAAGGTAAAAAAAAAAAACTTTTATAGTGTATTATAGGTACTGTTATCATATTTAGAGTTTTACGATTTAGTATGGAATACGTTTAATAAACTATATGTTACTAAAATAAAGCTTTAAAAGTGATTGGATAACAACACAAAATTAATTATATATATATATATATTATTTAATAAGATTTCTTTAATCATATTAATATTAATACGAAATATCTATCAATTTTAATGATAATTAATCTGTCAGTTTACTATTGTTTATTTATATGTGAATTGACAATAAGTTCAATTATGATCAAACGTCAATCCGTGTTTTTTTTTTTTTTCTCATTTTAACAAGGTGGACCAGTGTTTTAAGATTTTATCTTGTACTGTACTAATCTGGTGGATTATATTAGTTAATATTAATTAACTCAAGTTCTGTATAATTATTTTAATTTATTAATCTAAATTTATCCTTTTATTTGTCTACGATATGCAGGATGTTCTACTTTTTCTTTGAATCACGAGACACTAAGGATGATCCTGTTGTGATATGGTTGTCTGGAGGACCAGGTTGCGGCAGTGAAATAGCTCTGTTTTATGAGAATGGTCCTTTTCATATTGCCAATAACTTGTCTCTTACATGGAATCCTTATGGCTGGGACCAGGTAACCTTCAATTTCAATCTTTCCTTATAAAAACTCTTACACCAAATTTGTTTTCTTCTCAGCCGCAACAAGTTGTTTTTCTCCTTTTGCAGGCATCAAATATTATATTTATTGACCAACCTACAGGGACAGGTTTTAGTTACTCTTCTGATGATACTGATCTTCGTCACGATGAAACGGGCGTTAGCAATGATTTATATGACTTCTTGCAGGTAATAATTATGAAATCCCTTCTTTCATTCCATTCATCCGAATTCAAGATATTAACTTGTTGTAATATCAGGAATTTTTCAAGGCTCATCCTGAGTTGGTTAAGAATGAGTTTTATATCACTGGAGAATCATACGCTGGACATTATATTCCCGCACTTGCATCCTGGATTAACCAAGGAAATAAAATCAAACAAGGAATCCATATAAACCTCAAGGTCTTACACTAATTCTATTATAATTTATATCATATATTATATATGATTGAGCAAGGATAATATTTGCTTCCATTGATTATTTGATATAACAACAGGGTTTTGCTATTGGTAATGCGTTTACAAATCCTGCAATTCAATACCAAGCATACCCAGATTTTGCGTTAGACAAAAGGATAATTACCAAGGATGAGCATGATGATATCAGCAAGTTAATCCCAAACTGCGAAGAAACCGCTAAAGCTTGTCGTACGAGTTCTTTACCTTTCGTCACTCGCATCCTTTTTAGCTGATGTATATTGTTTCACTCAGTGATGTTGTTTGTGTTTGATTATTTAGAATCTCAAGGTGGACAGATTTGTAAGGATGCAACTAATGTTTGTGAAGAAATTTTCAATAGAATCTTGTCCATTGCTGCTGATATTAATGTGAGTTGTCCTGAAAGAATAGTACCGCTACTAAACTGTTTGAGAAAAATGGTGTAGTCAGTTTGCTTAATGCATTCTGCTGTATGGAAATTGCAGTACTATGACATTAGAAAGAAATGTGTGGGAGTGTTGTGCTATGACTTCAGCAACATGGAGAAGCTCTTAAACCAGAGAAAAGTGAAGAGTGCTTTAGGTGTAAGGGATGACTTGCAGTTTGTTTCATGCAGTTCAACTGTGTATGATGCTTTGGAGCTAGACTCCATGAGAAACCTGGATGTGGGGATTCCTGCTCTTCTTGAGGATGGAATCAGGATGCTTGTGTATGTTGGGGAAGAAGATCTCATATGCAATTGGCTTGGTGAGCCTACTTAATTCATTTGGAACAAAATTGTTTTTGTGATGAAAAAGCTATATGAATGATAGATTGACTACTGGATGTGGTTCTCATTTGGCAGGGAATTTAAGGTGGGTTAATGCCATGGAGTGGTCAGGCCAGAAGGCCTTTGGAAGATCTCCTACAGTGAAATTTAAGGTTGATGGTGCAGAAGCAGGGTCTCTTAATAGCTATGGACCTCTCTCTTTCCTCAAGGTTTGTGTTTAGAGTTGCATTGTTGAGTGTGACACTGTTAATTTGACTTCGGCTTATAGCTTTATTTATGTGATACTTAGACAGGTACACGGTGCTGGGCACTTGGTCCCTATGGATCAACCAAAAGTTGCACTTGAGATGTTGAAAAGTTGGATGGGAGGGAAACTGGCGTAAACAAAAGGAGTTAATTAAACATAAACCAACCATCCTCTAACAATCACAAATATTATTTTGTGTACATTACTTCATTCATATATTTGAGGGTGGAAATTATATATTATTTCTGAACTTTTTTGATGACATTCCTGATCTTTACACTCTTCATAACGATTTATGAAGTTCCACATCCTCCACTTTTGCATTTGCTTTATACATCAAATATCATTTTAGAATAGGCAATTTCCTAAAAATAGAGTAATATCTGAATAATCTTACAAAATTAATTATTCATTTATATATTATAATAATATCACATTTCTACTCCACGTGAACTTTTCATTAACAAAACATCTGAAGTGAATAATAAGTGATTCTATCTTTTGAAATATTGGAAGTTACGAGTAAAACATATAGCTTAAACTGAAACAGATCAATTGAACCATTAAATTGAATTGGAGCGTGGATTAAGAAATATTGATATCTTATTATTAAGAACCAAAAGTAAAATTATATTTTATTATCAAATATTGAAATCTTACTTAGAAGCTCATGTACCAAAACTATCTGGGAAGTACGATGTAATTGGAAAAATGGATTTCTCTTTCATTTATAAATTTATAATTCTTACTTTTTGGATCATGTCCTTCTTCGTCATGCTTCGGGACTTCCATCACCAGAAGAGAAAAGTAGAGGAAACAAATAATAAGAGACACTTTGAATAGTTTTTATGTAAAGCACTATCGTTAATAAAAATGTGGTATAACATTCTTGTAAATAAAATGAATTTTTGTTATCTACAATCATAAATAATAATAAAATAATAAATAATATTATTATAGTAAAGTATTGAGTTGTTGGAATAAATGTATTTGACAACAGTTAAAATATCATTTCAGTACTTTTTCAACCTTTTTCATTAATATGATAATTTTTTTAGGAAAATGATATTTTTACAACCCAAATTCATACAACTTCTGCATAAAACTCTCTTTTAATATTATAATAATAGTTTTAATTTATTTTTTATTTTTATTAAATCATTTAATAGATTATTATATTAATAAAAATGAGTTGTTTGAAGGGTTGTATGGTTTGTGGTTGTCAAAATATCACCACTCTTTTTTTATTGTCACTTTTTTTTTCAAAGTATTATCTTTTCTCTCGTGCTACCATTGTTAAGTGGTCATTTATTTACACCTTGTACTTAATTTCCTTATAAGTATTATTGTTATTTATTTTATATTTATAAAATAGATAAAAATGATAGTTTTAACATTATTTTAATTTTTTTTATAACTATTATATTATAACCATCTTTTGCGTGTAAATTATTAGTTTTTTAATGATTCTTTTCGTCTATTTTTCAATTTACCTATTTTGTTCTTTTCGTTTATATCTCAATTTCTCTTCTCCTCCTACTCAATGTTAAAAAATACTTTTTTATATAAATTATTTTTAAGATTTTATAACGTTATAGAATTCGTGAATGTAGAAAGTAATAATTTTTAACATCAACTTAGAACTAATATAAAAAAGGAGAACATACAGTAATGATGTAATATATTATATATGAATTTCTACATAGTGAATAACTAAGACCCAGGGGAATACAAGCATGGCGTGACTAATCATTTACACGCTCTTTTTTTCTTACATAAACACTAATCACTCTAATATTATTAATCTTATTCAAACGAAAAAATCGCGAGTAAGTTATAAATAAAAATAAAAATATAGTGACTATAATATTACTTCAATTTAGGACAATCTTAATTAGCTTATCGGGTGGAGGTGGAAAAGCCTACGTTGATACGAGTGTTGAAAGCTAAAAAAAAAACTGCAGAAGATCATATTTTTGTATTATTGTTTAGGAAAATTTAAATCAATTAATCGACAGGGTAATGTTTGTTTTATCTTCCGATTTGTTAGTTTGATAGTTGTTTTGTCCGTCTAATAGCAACCTCTTGTGGTTAACCTGTTCATAATATGTTGTTTTATCTGAATAAGACAAATATTCTTGTGTCTCAATTTCCTCTACATATCATCTTTACTCCAGCTTTTAGTCTCTACAACAATCACCAGCTTCTGCATCGAGACTGCTATAAATTCACAGTCATTACCTTGTTTTTTCCACAAATGCAAACAACATGGCTTTGGCATCATCACCATCCCTCTCCAAACTCTCTCTAGTGTTGCTCTTCTTCCTGTCACTTTCTTCTTCTCATCCCTCCCATGACCCTACCTACCCACCACAATCACATGCAGAAAGGCTCGTCAGAAGCCTTAACCTATATCCGAAGGACTCAGTTAACATTATAGAAAGTGACCATGCTGGTCATGGTTTTGTCCCTGGTGAGATCGTGGAGAAGAAGTTTTCGTTTCTTGGTGATTCTGGGCCTTCTGTTGAAGACCTTGGTCACCATGCAGGCTACTATTCCCTTCCTCATTCCATATCTGCAAGGTAAATATATATATATATATATATATATATATATATATATATATATATATATATATATATATATATATATATATAATATAGGTCTTGTCTGGAATGAAAAATTGTTATGACAAAGAAGTTTAGAGTAATTGAGTCAAAGTGCTTTAGAAAAAACTCTTTCTCTTCATAATGATTAATTAAGGTTTTTTGTTGTTGATATATTTAAAGTTAAACAGATTTTCTCTCATATATAATAGTTAATAAAAACTTAAGCATTGTATTTATCAGTGAGAATTTGGAAACAATTCTAAATTTAATGACTAATAGGTTTCCATTATTGGCTTGGAGTTAATTAATTAAGTTCTATATTTTATTTTTAATTAATTAATTCATTTAAATTTGTCTTTTTAATCACTCCCTAAGTGATGATATGCCATGCATCTACTATAACATTACATGCAGGATGTTCTACTTTTTCTTTGAATCACGGATCAGCAAGGATGATCCTGTTGTGATATGGTTGACTGGAGGACCAGGGTGTGGAAGTGAAATAGCTTTGTTTTATGAGAATGGTCCTTTTCATATTGCCAATAACATGTCTCTTACATGGAATGATTACGGCTGGGATCAGGTAACCTTATTCAATTTTCACGTTTTCTTTATGGAAAGTGTTATAAACTTACACCAAATTTGTTTTCTCACTTGCAGGCATCAAATATAATATTTGTTGACCAACCTACGGGAACAGGTTTTAGTTACTCTTCTAATGATACTGACATTCGTCAGGATGAAGCCGGGGTTAGCAATGATTTATATGATTTCTTGCAGGTAATAATTAAGTATATAAAGTCCCTTCTTTCATGATCTATCCCAATACAATACATATATATAACATCATCTTGTGGATAAATAAGATCTGCTAAATTAATTTTACTATAATGGCAGGAGTTTTTCAAGGCACATCTTGATTTCATTAGCAATGACTTTTACATTTTTGGTGAATCATATGCTGGACACTACGTTCCTGCACTTGCATCCCGGGTTAACCAAGGAAATAAACAAAATCAAGGACTTCATATAAACCTCAAGGTCTTATACACAATCTCTTATATAATTAAATAATATATGACCCAGAAAGGTTAATGAATTAATGATCATTAATTATCTTGTTTTGCTTTTGCTTGCATTGATTCATTCTATATAACAACAGGGTTTTGCTATTGGTAATGGGTTAACAAACCCTGCAATTCAATACCAAGCATACCCAGATTTTGCATTAGACAAGGGAGTAATTACTAAGACTGAGTATGGTAACGTCAGCATGTTAATCCCAGAATGTGAACAAGCCACTAAAACATGTGGTACATTTTTCTCATTGGTCACTCACATTCTTTTATACTGTGGTGATTCACATTGTTGTGATGTTGTTTGTGTATGATTTTTCAGAAACTCAAGGCGGAGAAAGTTGTGCCGATGCGTTAGATATTTGTGAAAACATTTTGTATCGTATCCTTGTCTTTACTGACAACATTAACGTAAGTAAAAATGAAAAAACAGTAACTACTTAACTGTTTACTTATCTCATTCTGCTGATACACAAACTGCAGTACTATGACATCAGAAAGAAATGTGAGGGATATTTGTGCTACAACTTCACAAACGTGGAAAAGTTGTTAAATGAGCAGAAAGTGAAGCGTGCTTTAGGTGTGAGGGATGACTTGGAGTATGATTTATGCAGTTTAAAAGTTCATGCGGCTATGATGCAAGACTGGATGAGAAACCTGGAAGTGGGGATTCCTGCTCTTCTTGAGGATGGAATCAAGTTGCTAGTGTATGCTGGGGAAGAAGATCTCATATGCAATTGGCTTGGTGATCCTACTTGACTTATTTAGGAACAAATTTGTTTTCTTGCTGAAAATCTATGTATGTTAGATTGAGTTCTTGATGTGTTCGTTTGACAGGGAATTCAAGGTGGGTACAAGCCATGCAGTGGTCAGGCCAAAAGGGATTTGAGATATCTCCTACAGTGAAATTTGTGGTTGATGGTGCAGAAGCAGGTTCTCTTAATAGCTATGGACCTCTCACTTTTCTCAAGGTCTGTGTTCATTGCATATTAGTATTTTTGTTTTTCATTTAAGAGATCAATGTGAGAATATCATAACACTAGTTTCAAATATACATCATTTACCTTTTTTATGTGATAATACAACAGGTGCATGGGGCAGGGCACATGGTCCCTATGGATCAACCAAAAGTTGCACTTCAGATGTTGACAAGCTGGACAGGAGGGAAACTAAATGCATCCTCTTCTGCAAGTTTTTCTCACAAGCTAAAATCAAGGCCATTGATTATGTTCTTTATTCTCTTTCTTTATCATACAATTACCTATCAAAGACCCAGAGCATGTTGACTGCATGAAAATTTTGCTAGAAAGATCCTAATTCGGGAAAGACCATTACAAAAGTTAAAAATAATGTCCCTCATGATTAATACACTCTCTTCAAAATCTAAAAGAAAATGATTAAAGTGCACCCTATTATGGGTAGAAAAAGAAGAAGAGAGAAATTAATGGATGCATTAAAATAAGTTATATATAATAAAAAATAATAATGAAATAAAAAAGAGAAGAAATGAAATGAGAAACTGGGTACATGTTAATAATAAATAAATAATTAGCCAAAACCAAATATTATGTTCATTGATCACAATTGTGTACCTTTTGACAATTTAATATACTTGTGTTAACTATCTGAGCAATGTTCGCCATCTATATATTTACTTTATACAAGAAAATGTGAATTCTAGAATATACTATGCGGCATTATCCCAACTGAATGATGTGGGATTCAATCCTTTGTGACATTGTAAATTAGCAATGGTGATCGAAATATAAAAAGTAAAATAATGTTATACTTAGATAAACAATGATAGGTATTTATTAAAAACAATAATTTAGGTGAAATAAAATAAGTTATTTTATATGTTAAAATAATATATAAATTATTTTAAAAAGATACTATTTGAATAAAAAGGAGAGTATATATAAATTATTTTTATTTGAGTAATGTGATACTTATGATATTTATATTATAGATTTGAAAGAAATTAGAAGAGAAACTTTTCATGAAAGTTAAGTATATAAGTTAATTTTATTTCTGATTGATGTGTTTATCAAAACAAATTTATATAACACAAGGCTTATTGGACCGGTTAATGCACATGGGTATTTTGCTATTTGCACTCTCCTTCGTACTAAAAAAACTGTGTATCATGATTCTATCAAGAAATATATTGTCGGTTTTTGTTCACACACATATATATATATATATATATATATATATATATATATATATATTTTTTTTTTTAGTTTTTCTGTTCTTATATTAAATAATTATTTATCAGAATAAAATACAAATACATAAAATAACTAATAAAGTTCATAGATAATTACAAAATTTGACTACGTCAAAGCTTGATAATACAAATACTAGCTTTAGATGTGATAAGAATAAAATACTAATTAATTTATTATTTCCAACTAATTAAATTAAAAAAATTAAAATACGTGAATATGTTGAGATGAACTTAAAGTTTAAAGTTTAGAGAGACCGCAAGCATCCAACCTTTGGCTGATCCGAAGTTGAAGTTGTACTCCACCCCGGTGTCTGTCTGCGGTGTGCTGTCACCGTGACTGCAACCCATCATATTCTTCCTGTTCAAACACTCTCACTTCACCTTTCACGGTTCACTCTCTCATCTCAATCTCATTTTTTTTTGTTAAATATATCTATTTAATTTTATTCTTTTCCCCTAACTTTCACTTCAGTTTTTTATCTGTTTGATAAAACTTCACAATTTCTTTTTAAACATGATAAATATTTTGACTTGGATAAAAACAACTTAAAATAGCAGAAATCAACTTTTTCAATGATTTGAACAAGCTAGGGTTTTTTATTAGGGAAAACATCCTGTCATCTAAAAATCTGTTCGGATTTATTGTTGCCACCTTCCAAGCGTCTTCTTTTCTCTGCCTAGTCAATAAACCATTTTTTTTATTACCTTTTTACTTTGCCAGTGATTTAGCGCATGAGCTTAGGTGGAAGATAGGTCTTCTAGATTCGATTTTCGTATTCGGGATTTTTCTCGGAAGGTTGTGATCTTATGGAGCCTGACAGGTATACATTCATTCTTAATCAGTTATCTATCTGTTCTCTATGTGTTGAGAATAAAATTGAGATTGTATATTTCCACGCAAATTGTGATATAATATATATCTGAACTTTGACACATTAGTGTATGTAATATGTGCATCAGTATTAGTTTTTTTTTTTTTTTTTTGGTATTGTCATTTCTATTTCGTGTGCAGTAATGGATCATTAGTTATGATATTTTGGCCTGCTTGCTTTTTTTCAACGTGTCGTTAAAAACTAAATTCCAATGCTCTTGGAACCATCTATGTCTTTTCTAATTTAATGCTTTGAAAGATGTGTGGTACCGTTTATTGATTGAAAGAGTAGCTTAGTTGGCCTTTTCTGAATACTTGGTTGTTTCTATTCGGCTCCTTGCATTAGAATGAGATTGTGCATCTTTGACTTCTTCTTGTTATGCTGGGTTGCAAATTTGCACTGAATTGGTGGTATTTATACCGAGTGACCACATAAAATTAGCTTCCCTGGTTTTTGTCCAACACCCCATCATGTTATTAAGTCGATAATTGGATACATCATACAAGTTGTCAACACAATTAAGACCTCATTTTTTTCTGTTTAGGAAAAACATATATAGCTTTACATGTTTACTATTACTACAGTTGTTATATGTAGAACCTATAATGGTTGTTGGTTAAGACAATTGAATGATTCTTCTTTATGATTTGCTACATATTAATCTTATAAATACTTGTTTCATAACATTCATAATCGTTTTACCAGGTTAAATTCCCCAACGACATTTGAGATGCCATTGGAAGTTTTGGGCCACGAGTTGCAGTTTTCTCAGGTATTATATTTTTTTTAAATCATGTGTTTGGAGGGTGCTTCAAGGAGGTTGTTCTTTTCTGCACTGGATCTATTGAACTTTAGTAGTGTTATCTTTCTGCACATCCAAAACCTCCCTCCTTTTAGAAACTTCTAGGCTGTGTTATTTAAGCAGTGAAAGATATGCATCACAATGAAGAAATAATTTGAGTAAGATGAGGTAGTGCATCAAGGCCACTCAATCTGGACTAGAGACTTTAACATTCTGTTTTATTAGTAAGTATTCTCAAAATATTTGGGAAGAAAATACAAACAGTTAGATTTAGGACATATGAAGTATAGATGAGAACTGCATTATAATTTTTTTGAAATTATGACTGACTATAATGTGCCATGTGCCTACAAATTTTTATTTGTTGACTGAGATATTTTCTTATTGTTCAGCTTATAGAGTGTAGACATTAACTTGAATATGATTTTATTGAAATTGATAATTTCTTATATTTGTAATGTTTTCTGTTTTTTTCTTTCTTAAGTATGTTTCTATGAAATCTCTGACAATTCAATCTCTGCTTTTTATAGGATCCCAATTCCAAGCACTTGGGGACTACAGTATGGGATGCATCACTTGTGTTTGCCAAGTTTCTTGTAAGTTATGTGTGTTCCTCACATGTCCCTTTTCATTAATGACAAATTAGTAGATCCTGACTGTATTTTTATGTAACTTTTGAAACTAGACAATTCATTCAATATTCTTTATATTCTCATTTATTAAAGCATAGATGATGTGTAACTTGTAATTTGCAGTGTACATGAAAAACTAGCTGTCCAGACCTGACAGATAAGCCTTGGACTTGAACTCATTGTTGAAACTGTGCATGGATAAAATTTAACATGAATGCATTTAAATCACATTTATTGCCATATTTGTTGAACTCTTTGCTTTAAAATAATAATGGGAAGTTGGTAAATGACATGAATGGAAACAATTCACATTTTCTTTGTTTGTGACTTGATCTTATGTTTACATTAGATCCTTTGACGGTGAACTAGGTCATGAAGATCATTAAATATTGATTTTAGTTTCCATCACCTTGTAATTGAGTAATATTTCTCTATTCCCTCTGTATTGTTTCAGGAACGGAATTGTAGAAGGGGGAGATTTTCCCCAGCTAAACTTAAAGGAAAACGTGTAATTGAACTAGGAGCTGGCTGTGGTGTTTCTGGTTTTGGTGAGTTTAAAAATTATTGTTAAAAGTTTGTTCATTGAATCAATGTACTTTGCCTATATGAACTCCTTGTTGAAATTGGTCTATCCTTACTCTATTTTCAGTACTTAGGTTGGTCGGTGATGCCTAGTCTGATTTGCAGTTCCATTGCAGGAATGGCTTTGCTGGGATGTAATGTTATAGTGACTGACCAAAAGGAGGTTTTGCCATTGTTAGGGAGAAATGTTGAGCGTAATATTTCAAGGGTCATGCAAAAGAATCCTGGTTTGATTTGATGCTTTTGAACCATCCTCATGGCCATTTGTTTTATTTCAAATTCTTTATTTTTATCTTTGAATTTTATTGTTGTATAAGGTTATTCTGTGTGTGGATTTAATGGTAGTAGTATTTGACTTGGAAATCAATTTGATTTTAGAGTCATTTGGTTCAATCAAGGTTGCTGAACTTCAGTGGGGAGACGAGAGTCACATTAAGGCTGTGGGTCCTCCTTTTGACTACATAATCGGCACTGATGTTGTAAGTGTAGAACAGGCCTTTCTGCAAACAGTGTGGAAGTGAATATCCCTTAACAGTTAACTTATTAACAATATCCTAAGTTAATTCCTTAAATTACAAACTCTAATCAATTTTAGTCCTTAAAATTACAAAAATTCATTTTAAATCCCTGAAATTTGCTAACATTAGTAATTTTAACCTATAGTCAATTTAATCATAGAATTTTAAAAAAATTAAGTAATAAATTGATTTTAGTTGTAATTTCAAAGTTTAAATTGACTAGTGTCACTGGGGACTAATTTGGTATATTACTCACAAATTGATTGTCATTCTCTTACAATTTGTTTTGGTGTATTTCTTTGAAGGTGTATGTAGAGCATCTACTGGAACCTCTATTACAGACAATACTTTCTTTATCTGGACATAGGACTACAATTTTGGTACGTTAATAAACTTCTCTTTAAAACTATGCACATATTTCTCATAGTAAACCTGGATAATTCACTTCTTTCTTATTTGTTTTGAATTTGCTTATGAAGTTGGGCTATGAGATCCGCTCTACAAGTGTCCATGACAAGATGCTTCAGATGTGGAAAAGATACTTTGACGTGAAGACTGTCTCGAAGTCCAAGGTAAGCTATATGTTCCTATGAGTTAGGTCTATCACAACATATATCTGTTGAATTAGGTATATTATTTTTAGTTAGTTAACAAATAGGTGAGTTTGGTTAACTATTTCTGAAGGCTTCAATTTGTGCAGATGGATGAGACATTTCAACATCCAAGTATTGAACTCTTCATTATGGGATTTAAACATTCAGCAGAGTGCACAGAGAACTCAGGTGAGACAACTGTTGAAAAAGTTGATGTGGAAACTGTTGTGGATGATAAAAGCAGTGAGGGAAGCGTTGTAGCAGAAGAAGGAACTGGTCTCGTTGAAGAAAACGTTGAGGATCACGATAAGTCAATCTCGCAAAATGCTAAGCTTAGTGAATGGGAAGCCAGAAGGTATGGAGCAATGGCTGCAAGGATTTTGCGAGATATAAAAATATCTTGATTTTGATAGTTGCTCTGGGGAAATATAGTCATAGTAAAAATATTATGATAGTCATAGCATATGCTTGAAGTTTATGTGCTTTAAAAAAAAAAAATTTTGATCCTTTTATTTTCATTGTTAATTTTAGTTCATTTTTTTTTGCTTGACATTCAGTGTTTGATGAAAATACTGATATCACACTGAAATAGAGTTCATGTTAAGTACTGTACCATACAGAAGCACTAACTAGCCATTGCCAAGTCCTAAATCTACACACAAAAAAACTCCCTATATCCCTAGAACTACTTAGTAAAGGCTTATATACATCTCTGGAACTCCATATGGAGGAAGAGCAATATCCTAATTACAAGTTGTAGTTTTTGTTCCAATAATAAGTGTTCAATATATATATATATATATGAAAAATGACCAAGATCAGAAAATATTTACTAGTTATTAAAAGTAATAGTTATATGGTGGCTTACGGTCAATTGGGATTCCAAGTTTGTTTAGAATTCCAAATTTATATATTAATAGATATATGGTTGGTTCCAAAGTCATGAATTTGAATGCGTCTTGTGTACAGAAAAAAACATGACAAAATCATGTGTAAGGGTTACTAATTTGAACAAAATTACCTATGCACATATGCATGATGTTGTTGCTCTTTATGTAAAGATGGTTTTGACTACTTGTACCCATAATTACTAGCTGCGCCCTAATATGAATTGTGCAAAGACCAAAACACTCTCTAGGATTATTTTTGACTATTGACCTTATCTCCAACACTCCATCTATGGCCACACCTCTGTACCCTCAACAATACCTCTTCTCCCATATTGTAAAGTTACACCCCATCTAAGTCGTTATATTTCTTGTTTTGTTTCTCATAAATGTTATGTAATTCATCATTTGGGAAGTCCAAAAATATTTTGAATAGGACGTCAGGGTATTTTCCAGGTAGGTCATGTGATTGAAGGAAGACGACTTGGGATGCGAAACAAAAGACATTGATATTAGTGCGTAGAGTCACAGAAGATAGATTGTTTATACTAAGAGGCAACGTCCCCAACATAGATTTTTTGACATTTTATTATTTTAAATTTGACATGACTCATCAAATGAAATACCAATGAAACTTAATCGTGTTCATATGACATGCGTCGAAGCCTGTGGACTATGAGTAGATTGTGTTAACCTCAACATACCTCAATCATACTCTTCTACAATATGACTAAATGTATATTTTGAGATAAAATTTTCAAAATTTTTGGATGCTTTGTTGTGAAACATATATTTCATATGATATCATATACTTGTCGCATCCCAATAAAAACAGAAGTCTGACATGGAGGTTTGAAGCATCCTTTTAAGGTTCCATTGTGCAGTCTGAATATCAGTACCTTGTAAAAGAAAACCATGTCAACCTCAGAATGCATGCGATAATTATATATATTACTTATGTTTCCAAAGTATGTGACCTATCGATTCATGCTTTAACTAACTTTGCCTTAAATGTAATTAATTATATATTATTAACAGATATGACAAACGAGTACGACACTATGGTAATATGGCAGGAAATATTGATATTTTTAGTTTTACAGTTTGTCACTCGGTTTTGATTCATTTTGTCGAATCCGTTAACTTGTCGTCTTGTCTTGCAGGGCGGGACGGGTCAATCAACGGTCTACTTAAGATAAAAACATTATTTTTATCGGTTAATTATAAAATGTTAATTTATGAATAGAAAATTAAAAAAAGTCTTAAACTTACTCAATACAGTAATATTTTCCTATCTCAATCAAAAACTTCTCTTTCGTCTCTTTACTTATTATGTTTTTCTTGTTAATTTTTTTCTTTGTTTTAAAAATTATATATATTTCATATATTTTCTCTTGTTATATTTTTTTTTACGGTTTCTTTTTTTTAACGTCCTTTTTAGGTATTTAAATTTTACAATATAAAAAATAAAGATTTTATAATTTTGTTATTATTTATTATTATATAAATTTTATCTTAATTTGATTATTTTAAGTTATAATTTTTTAATATAATGTGTTAATTTATATTATTAGTTTAAAATATATATGTTGAATGGTTAACAAATAACTAATAATTTTATTATTAAATTTGATTTAAAAAAGATAAATAAATTAGTTTTAAAAAAGTTATGATGGAATAAATCAAGGTTTAATAAAAAGATCAATCTGTTTTATTTTTTATGGACTAAAACAACATGAATTGTCTTGTTTTGTCATTCTCGTATTCACATCTTCAATAAATAAATTAGAGTGAATAAACAATTTCAAATCCTAGAAGATGATTTTTAAAACTTTTCACTTCATTATTAATTCATGATATGACTTGGATACACTAATATTTTGAATTTTGTTTTCAAAAGAAATTCAATGTAAAAATGATATAAAAGGTTTGAAATTTTAGGAGATAAAGTCTTTATTAAGTCATATTCATATAAATGATCGATACTTAGAAATAGCAAAATAGGTCCTATTAACATGTTATAAATACAGCAGAATAGGTTAATATTTTAAACCTGTTAACCTGCTAACTCATGGATAGCACGTGCCGACCTGTAACCCGTTTAATTGATATAAAATATTTTTATTATAATACATTCAATTACACTTTTCTATTTACAAATTTTGATGTTACTTACATATATTATTATTATTATTATATAAATTTTATTTTTATTTGATTAATTTAAATTATAATTTTTAAATATAATATATAATTTATATTATTAATTTCAAATATATAAATTGAATAAAAGAAAATAAATAATAATCTTATTATTAAACTCTATATAAATTGATTAAAAAAAATTATGGTGGATTGTCAACTAACGGAACCTATCTTGTTCTATATTTTCCGTAACAACTATAACGGATTACCTCTCCTGTCATTTTCCCCGAGTATCAAAATAGTACATACTGTCCCGTTGTTCATCACTACTGACACTCAAAAGAGAAATTGTTTTGCTATGCATAAAACCTATTATATTGGGTAAACAAATAATTTAAAGTATTTTGGTGGGATGAACCAAACTCTTGCAGTAGTTGTACTTTCGTGTTTGAATTAATGATAAATTAATTACTAGGCTTTGGTACTTGTATTTAACAATCAAATGCTCTGTTTGTCCTGTTCTTTTGGTGTACATTGGATGCACCCAAGCTTTGTCCATTGGGAGACAGGTCTTCTAGATTCCTTTTTCGTATTCCGGAGTTTTCGTTAAAAGTTATGATCTTATGGAGTCTGATAGGTATACAGTCCTTCTTAATCAGTTATCCATCTGTTCTATATGTTGAAAACAAAATTTAAATAGTAACATTAGTATGTGTAATAGGTGCATCATTAGTTATTAAATTTTGACCTGCTTGGATTTTTTCAACTTGTCATTCAAAACTAAATTCCATTGATCTTGGAACCATGGTTTTAATGCTGAGAGATGTGTAGTACCATTTATTAATTTGGTATATTTTACTTACAATTTGATCGTTATTCTCTTGCTATTTGTTTGGGTGTATTTCTTTGAAGGGTTATGTATCCTATTACAGACAATACTTTCTTTATCTGGACCTAGGACTACAATTATGGTACGTTATTAAACTTTTCTATTAAATTATGCACACATTTCTCACAGTAAACTTGGATAATTTCAACATCCAACCAAGTATTGAACTATTCGTTATGGGATATAGACATTCAGCAGAGTGCACAGAAACTCAGGTGAGGCAACTGTTGAAAAAGTTGACGCCGAAACTGTTGTGGAGGGAAGTGTTGTAGCAGAAGAAGGAACAGGTATAAAAAATTGAATTTTATCTTTTAAAAAAATAGGTGCTCTACACATTTCGTCCTATCAAGAAGGTATAATTTCACTTAAGTTTTTACCTTTAAAGGAAGTGCAAAATAACGCCATGTAATGCATGGATAAAAACCATATCAGAGAAATCCTAAAATAGGTAAACTAATAATTCAAATTCAACTATTTTGAGGGATACACCAAGCTCTTGCAGTAGTGCAAGACAAGAGTGATGTTGATAGTCCAATAGCAAGCTATTGAAAATGACTCTCTCCCTAAAAAATTAATTTAATATCATATAAACCATTGGTTTAAATATCAGATATTAAACTGATAAGAACAGATACTACACTTGATCTTAGCCAAAAGGCCGAGAAAGGTATGATTTACTTAGATAAAGTGTCCAATTTTTATATTCTTATCTCCAGCTGTTTGTCAGATTTCTGAAAAAATGTGGGACTTTTTGAATTAAGTTAGAATAATTTTAAAATTAAATCAGAAATTGCATTTATGTATTATTGATCAATCTGAAACTGATGGACAAATTTCAAACATTTTGTATTAAATAATACTCTACTTGAATATATTATTAGCTGTTTTATTTTCCTTATTATGTTAAGTTTGTTTTGAATGCCTCAAAATACTTAGTTGCACAAACATGTTTAAATCAATTTTTTAAAGTATCTTCTTACAACAAAATATTCCATGCTAAGTTGCACAAACATGTTAAATCAATTTTTTAAAGTATCTTCTTACAACAAAATATTCCATGCTAGTTTTCTTCTAACAATGTCATTCCACTTATTCCAGATTTTTGTTAAAAATGATTACAAGAGAAATGAAAATAACAACAAATCCAGTTATATGATGAGAAAGAACAACATAAATGTGTTGATCATGCATGCATGAGAACAAGGGTAGAGAATGGAAGATTTACATCATACAAAACTGACTAGTTATAAAGATTTTGTTAATATAGACAGAAGAACAAGATATAGAATATGCTCCCACTGAGCATTCAAGATACAACAGTGAAGTGGCAGTGGTATCGACTTCATATATAGAAGAGTTTTTATTCTTTCTGTTTCGAAATTTAGAGAAAAAAAAAAGTATTTTGTGAAAAATTCAGTAGTTAGTAATGATAATTCATGTTCTTCTTGACATCTAGCAAACTCTTCTTCATATTCTCTGTGCAGCTACTCATTAACGAATAAAAAAGAATATTTTGTGTGTAGTAATGGATTTTTAGTTACTATATTTTCACCTGTTTGCTTTTCTTCAACTTGTCATTCAAAACTAAATTCAAATGATATTGGGAACCTTTTTGGTTGCGTAAGTCATTGTTAAGTCCCCAAACTCAACTCTCAGCTTGGAATGGGCAGGCAAACTTATTCCAACACAAACCTCACCCACCAAGCTTCAATGTTGTTCCATCACAATAGAGCCCCCACTTGGGTCACAAGCTGGAGTGACTCAGCTCGGCAAACAAGCATACTTGTGAGTATGGTTATAAATACACGGTTGTTTCATTCTCTTTTGGATATGGGACACAAGTATATCACTAACAATAACAACTTTGACAGAGTTGGTGTATCTCTTTACCGTTCTCCAAGATTTGAAATGATGATCCAGTTAGATTTTGCCTGTTATCCACACAATACTGATATTTTAACTCTTTACTAGTTTATGGTGTCAAATGACTAAGATATAATTTTGCTTCATTTTTTTTTAACCTTTGTATCACTTTAAACAAGGTGCAAAATCATGCATATTAGATATGATTATTTTGTTAATCTGTTACTCTTTATGCAGTAATCTAGGTTTTTTTGGAACCCAATTTAAGATATTTTTCCTCTTCTCATTGTGGTTGAGAGTATTGAATGTTGCATAGAATGAGATGCATACGTATTTTCTCTTCTCTTCTTCTTCTCTAATTGCGTATATCCTACTCTTTGTCATGGGTTATTACAAAACTTCTTTCTCATACCACACTTTTCATTGTATCAGAGTAAGTTGAATACCTACTCAGCTTCCGCTGCCATCTTTTTCTTCTTTCTTGATGCTAGTCTGCCCTCTTGAATAATGGAGTCAGCTTCCACAAAAACAGAAAACACAATCAATCTCTTAATCTTCCTGCCCTTAGTATCTGCCTCTTGAATAATGTAGTCTGATTTGCAGTTGCATTGCAGTCATGGCTTTGCCACTTGTTGATAAGGTTTTATTTAATGAAATATTCCATTTAGTATTTTCCCTATTTTTTTATGATATTAAATTGAAAGCAATCGTAAATGAAAATAAATAAACAAATAAAACAACAGAGAAAAAATACGATGAAAAAATATATATATATATATATATATATATATATATATATATATATATATTAATTTAAACTGAAACACTACAAATTTCAATTTAATTCATAATATATATCCTTATTCATTTTCTTAAATTACATGAGGAAGAAATATTAAAAGATTTGCAAATATATTTTCACTCATACAATGTCCTAGATGAATGATATCAATGTTTCCTCAAAAAGTAATATTTCTCATCTATATGTTTGTTTTGCGTGTAATACAAATTTTTATAAAATAACCAAAATCTTTAGTTATTTGCAAATAATGAAGAATTTTCTTTGCAGCCAACAAATATGTTTCTATATGATTCTTTATATATCTACTTATTATAGTTAAATACATCAAATTGCTAATATAAAAAGTATGTTAAATCATCTTTCCTTCACGATTTTTATGAATATTATTTAGACCATGCTCTTGTAAAGTAATTACCATTTTAAAATCCTTAAATGAAATATACTCAAAACATATCTCACATATTTATTTTGACAGATATTGATTCCATCAACTGATTGAATTAAGTTTTTAACAAAAAAAAAAGAGTAACGGATCAAGGTAAGATTACTCATTTCAAACTCATCTATAATAGATTTCTTAAAGTTATCAAACTTGAAAGTGCAAATTCCAGAAAAAATAAGATTATTAACATATAAGTAAACCATAAATAATTTACCTTTATCTCAAAATTTCAAAAAAGTGTGTGTTCAAAAGGATACTTTGTGAATCCAATTTTAAGAAAATGAGATTCAATGCAACTATACTATACTTGTGAAGTTTATTTTGACTTTACCATTTTCTTTCAACTTTATTTTAAACACTTGTTTTACATTAACGATGTTGCACTCTTTAGGATTATCACACAATTACCATGTATTATTCATTTCTATCAATGCCATCAATTTTATCATTCATCGCCTTTAGTTATTTCTCTTCCTTGACAGTATTTTCGTATTTAATAGGATCCCAAACTACAAATAAAGCAAAATGCATAATTGGATATAGGGAAGTCTAGTTACATAATCATCCATCCAAGCTAGTCATTTTCCTATACAAGGAAATAATTAATCTTCATTGTCATGTTTTGTGGAAGAAATTTTAGTGATTGTTGAAGCAATCAATTCTAATGTAGAAGTGACTAATATGTGTTCTTCCTCGTCATTTTGATCTAGTAATACTTGGGTATGCTACTACATATTTCAATCTCAAGTGTTTTTTTTCATCAAGAACAACATCCCTAATAGTGACAATCTTTTCTGTATAAGGATTAAACAATTTATATGCTTTAGACATTTCACTTTTCCTAAAAAATACACATTTTTCAAATTTATCATCAAGTTTCTTTCTTTTTTGATCCGAAACATGGACAAAGACAATGCATCCAAAAATTCTAAAGTGCTCCAATGGTAAAGTCTCACTCCATACTTCTTCTAATGTCATATTTTGAATAATAAAAGTTGGACTTCTATTCAAAATATGAACACTCCAATTTAATGCTTAGCGGTAAAATTTCTTTTGGAATTTTCCCTTGAGTTAATAAGCTCTTCACCATATTCAAAATGGTCTTATTCTTCCTCCCAAATACATTGTTTGTTGTGATGTGAACCCTCTTCGTATATGATGTGAACCCTCTTCGTATATGATGCTCTGTACAAAAATGTCCAAAATTTGTTGGACAATACTCATCACCACGATTAATGTGAAGGATTTGAATGTTTCCCAAACTCATTTTTAATTTGAGCTTTAAAAATCTTGAAGGAAAATAATGCTTTAAATTTGACTTAAAAAAACTAGACCCAAGTTTTCCTTAAAAAACTATTAGTGAATGTAATGAAATAACTTTTGTTTCCATTACAAGATGGATTTATTGGATTGCAAAAGTGTACCAATTTTAATACATTCTTTGTCCTTCGTGACTTGTTGTTAGAAAATTGAGAACAATATTATTTTCTAACCACACAATCCTCACACACTTGATAAGGATATTGAATTTGAAGGAGTCACTTAATCATGTTTTTCTAATTGAGAAGTTTTAATCCTCAAAAACTCAAATGACCATAATAAATATGTCATAAATATGATGAGTCTTTGATTTCGGCTACCAAATTAGACTTAACAGTTTCAATCTTTAATGAAAATAACTTGTTGAAACTCATATGTACAACAAGAATAACACCTCTAACGGAGTATATTTCACAAATACCTCTTTTATTAGTATTATTATAACTTTTTTCTTATAATTGATGAATGCTAAACAAGTTACTTTACTCGAACAGGTATTACATTATATATTGTTTTCATAAAATCAATCTTGGTTTTAATTTTAATATGATATTTACCTCTCATTTTTATAAAAGAGAAATATCCAAAAATAACGATAGAATGAAAATCTCATTTAAATAAGAGAAAGAAGAGTTACAATCATTGATTACTCCATGTATCAACATACCAAAATTTCAAGTACATTTTGTTTTCATAGATAGTAATTAACAAAACTTTTTCTTCTTTTCACTTTTTTAATAAAATGTAAGTTTTCCCATTTTGTTCTAAAATTGATCTTTATTACTTTGGAATCTCTTCTTTCTTCTTTACATCCTTTATCTCCATTAAAAATATATATATTTATTTTGATTTTTTTTAAATAATACTAACTTGTTTTTTTTTTCTTTCATATATCTTTTACTTATTTCTTTCATATCTTTAGAACTAAATTATTAGTATCCTTTAAATAATTAATTTACGAAACGTTGTTGGTATTGACCCTGAGGATAGACATGAATACCCAGATAGCATGAATAGAGCAGTTATTATTGACACACCATTATGAAAAAGGAAAAGAAAAGGTTATTGACACACCATTGTCAACCAGTAAAAGAGAAGAGCTTATGGACACACACCATGTTCACCTGCCATATGCAATCTCTACTCATCATGTATAGAGTACATCCTTCCACTCTATAATAAGAATAAATATAAAAATTTACAATTATATTAATATATAGAATCGTTGGATGATTGTGTTTGTAGGAGGAATTGTCCAAACATCCTTTTCCATGTTTTATTATGGTACAAGAGTTTCGCTGGCAAAGAATTTAACAATAAAAAAAAGGTTATATTATATGTTGTTGAAGAAAAACTTATACCATTGTCAGTGCCTATAAATTGGTGCATGCAACAAGTAATTAACAGACCAAAATTCAAAACAAAATCAAATCACAAGAATGGCTTTTGTTAGGCTCGCTCCTTTCGCTCTCTTCTTCCTTGCTACTTCCTGTATGTACTTTTTCATTCATTTTCTTTTTCATCATTTCTAATTACATATCTCAGAACTATGAAAAAAAAAAATTAACATATTCATGGGGTTTTGTTATAAATTTTTTATATCGCATTTCAGTGTTATCAATGAAGAGAATAGAAGCAGGTTGTTTGGATTTTTGTTTAACGATTGACACGCAACCATGTGGCTCGAGCGTATGTAGCTGTGTTCCTGTTGCAGTAATTGCTGGTATCTGCTTACCTGATATAGCAGTTGAGTCCATTGCGAAGAGGCTTGATGAATATCCCCAGCTATGTGTGTCTCATCATGATTGTGTGAAGAAAGGCAGTGGCAACTTCTGTACTCGTTCTCTTTATCCAAATGTGCCTTTTGGCTGGTGCTCTCACTCCAACACTGAACCACTGAAAGGTTTCTTGGCTATGCCTGAAGCAATTGACAAGTGAAATGGGTATGCCCATCACTCATAAGTCATCATGCATCTTCTACGTTAAATAAAAGCCTATGACAGTACCCAGAATAGCACAACATATAATTTAATAAATATATATATATATATATATATATATATATATATATATATATATATATATATATATATATATATATATATATGTAATGTCATGTTTTTTTATGTATCATAAATGATGAATACCTAAATTTCTAACAAGATTATGGAACTTGCTTTTATGATCAAGAGAAGATTTAATCATGAATATTGTAATATCCGAGCGGTTGAATTCTGCAATGAAGAGAAAATAATAACTAACTAAGAAGACATTCAAATACTTAAATAAATATAAAATATACAATAAAGAGAAAATAATAACTATCTATGGAGATACTCTAATACTTATATAAGTATAAAATATAAAAAGATAGAGAGTAAGAATGAATCCTACTAACTGAATAAAATATTCTAATTTTATATATTGTTTACTAGTGTTATTTTTGGTTTTGTTATAAGTTATTATTTAGGAGGATTGATTTGAAGGAATATTTTGGTTATACAAATGCAGGATATATAAAAATGCTGACAGATACACAAGTTTTCTGATTTTATAATCTAAAGACGAATTATGAGTTTAGTTTAAGCTATCGAGTTTATGATTTATGAGTTTAAAATCAAGTAGGAATTAAGATATTATCGTATATGAGTCCGAGTTTGTAACAAACCTTTTCGTTTTGTCGAGCACATTAGTACTTATGACACGCATTTAACGATGGTTATAGTAATGAAGTCATGTGTCAAAGGTTTATTCTCAAAAGATGTGGACGAGATTAAGTGAAAATCCTTACTCGTCTTGATCGTGCCACGAGTTTTCTTCTTCATCTTCTCTTGTACAAGTGTTCTATTATTCTTGAGTTTTTTAATTCTCAAATATGAGTTAATGTTTTACAATTTCTTATGCTTCTAGTTTTTCTGCTCTCGTCAAGCTTTCATTTATATGAAACTGACCAAGAAAATTATAAGTTTAAAATTAATTACAATAAAATTAAATATTTTTTTAATTAAAAATTGTAACACTGAATTATTGTACAACAGAAATTTTTGGGATTGATTAGAGCAATTTAGATTCTTTCTTGATTTGAATTGATCTAATGCTTATTTGCATTTACTTATTGATTTCTACAACCTTTAATATAGGTTATTTAGATTCCCTCAAGTAAACTTGGACTTCTAATAAGAGTGAAGCTTGGTTACACATGATGTTTGTTATGAATTTGAGTATTTATTTCTATCAATTTGACCCATCTCACATTATCTATCTCTTATAAATAAATAAAAAAGAAATATCAACATATGTATGCTTTGATGGTAAAACTATGCAAGAAGTAATAAATTTAAAAAATAGTTGAATTATACTATGCTTTTTCACATGTTAAATGCATGGTTTATGAAGAAAATAATTAGCTTAAAAATGATTTTAGATCAAGAAATAAAGAGTAAAATGACATACATCAAATACTCTATCACTTCTTCTCTTTTGCACTTCATGACTCACTTTTACAAGAAAAAAAAAGAAGATATAAATATATATAAAAATATAAAGATATAAATATATCAATATATAAATATATCAATGTATTAATATTTAAATATATATTAAAATATATAAATATATTTTTATTTATAGATTTTATATTTATATATTTATATGAATATACATTTATTTGTATATAAATATAATTTATTTGTAAGTTATTATTAAAAAATCCTAGTAGCTCAGTGGTTGAGTTTCAAATTTCAAACTCTAAGGTACTCGGTTCAATCCTCGATAATGACAATAAACCTAATAATAAGTTAAACTTCTAAAAAATATTAATAAAAACTTAAATAAGCAAAAATATAATATAAAAAGAGGTAGGGGAAATAAATAATAAATATAATTAAAAATGTAAATAAATAAAAATAATTAATTTTGTTATTGATTTAGCGACCAATTTAAATCTAGGTCGCTATTTTTTTAACTTTGTCACTCGATTTAGCGACCAATTTGATATATTAATTTCGGTCGCTATTTTGCGACCGAAATAAAATCGAGTCGCTATTTTGTGACTGAAATGAAAATCGATCGCTAACACATTAGCGACTCGGGCTTATTGCGACGACGCATTTCGAGTCGCTAATTCGATCGCTAACGTAACGCGATTTTTTCATTAGCGACATTTTTGGTCGCTAAAATGCTTTTTCTTGTAGTGACTTAAGCGAAATTACTAGCGCTTGAGCGATCGACTTCGAGAGAGTTTTAACTAATATTCGCTCAAGCAAAAGTCTATCTCGCTCGAGCGACTTTCATACTCGAAAATCTTCTTCCTCCTTTAAGTTTTGCTCTAATTATGTTGACAATTATGCTCCTTACTCTTGTATCAAGGTATTCTCGAATTCATCCTACATTGGGAGAAAAATAGATTAGAATTAACATAAGTTAAGTGATTTCATAACAATTCAAAGTATAATTATATCAACTTTTTACCACTTAACAGTTAAATGCATTGTTTATGAAGAAAATAATTAGCTTAAAAAATGATCTTAGATCAAGAAATAAAGAGTAAAATGACATATATCAAATACTCATCACTTTTCTCTTTTGCATTTCCAATAAAGGATACAAGAAAGAAAAAAAAAATGCATGCATGTAATACAAAAATGAGTACTGTTGCAAACATTAGTCATATCTTCAAAACTATAATATTAAAAAAAAAAACTTCATTAATCAAGAGTGAAAAAATAAAAAAGATCAAGATCATAATTTACAAAGTATCATTACGGTCGAGAATGAATCAATTCAAGGGAACATACTCTCATGATCAAGTGTTTATTCTACTTTGAAGCGTTTAAGCTAAACATTTCACTCATCATCATATAATGACATCGTCTTTTACAATAGGTTTGAAAAATCTCTAAATTTCCACCATTAGAACACATACCACAACATATCAACATGACTTTTTCTTGTCTTGTAATGAGGTTAGGGTTAAGGGTAGGTTAAGAAAGGAAAGTGGGCTAAGTCCTTAGGAAAAATAAAGAACATGGATCAATATACGTTGAAGTTTTGTTTCAGTTGCATATTTTATTTTTGTCATATTTGTATTGGAGTGCCTTATGAGGTCCTTTATTACTTAGACACATGAACACAATTTTTTTTTTCTGGTACTTTGACACTTCTCCTTTTTTTGGAATTATTAGTAGCGAGTATAACTCAATTTTTGTAATGATTTCACGCTTCTTACTTCCCTTTACGTCTGAGTGTGAGTATTTTTTGGGTTGGAAAGATTTTAATTCTCGGATTTAAATCCAAGAAAAGACTAAGGTTCAAAGGGTAATTTAAAGTAAGGATAAACTATTTGACTAAATTATTAAGATAAAGAAGACCTAAATAATTTCTTCTAGTGTATGTGCTCTACCAGCATCACATATAAATTAATCAAATTCTGGAAGATTCCTATGTCATGAGTAGTGCAAAAAGACTCAAAATTCATCTAGATATTTTGTTCACCCTGAATTAATCCAAATTAATGTTAATATAACCCGATTATGACTTATTATATTAATCAAATATTTTAAATTTCAAATTCTTTCTTTGATCAAATCAATTATTTTATTTTAAGTAATTCTTCGTCAAATCTACAATATTACGTAACAGGTAAAATAAAACATGAACATAAAACATGAACGAAACTAGTACATAAAATGTAAATATTCTCGTATTTTGAAGTCATGATTACCCTCGATGATCATACAAGTAAAGTTTGCTTTCATAAGCTGTAATTTTATGTTTGGAACCATGGTTCTCTTTTCCAATTTAATGATCTGAGAGATGTAGTACCGTTAATTGATTAAAAGATCAACTTAGTTGGCGTTTTCTGGATACTTAATTAAAAGATTCAATGGGGGACTAATTTGGAATTATTACTCACAAATTGATTGTTATTCTGCTACTATTACAAATAATAGTTTCTTTATCTGGACCTAGTACTACAGTTATGGTACGTTATTAAACTTTTCTATTAAATTATGCACACATTTCTCACAGTAAACTTGGATAATTTCAACATCCAACCAAGTATTGAACTATTCGTTATGGGATATAAACATTCAGCAGAGTGCACAGAAAACTCAAAAAAGTTGACGTGGAAACTGTTGTGGAGGGAAGTGTTGTAGCAGAAGAAGGAACTGGTCTCGTTGAAGAAAATGTTGAGGATCACAATAAGCCAATCTCGCAAAATTCTAACCTTAGTGAATGGGAAGCCAGAAGGTATGGAACAATGACTGCAAGGATTTTGCGAGATGTAAAAATAACCTGATTTTAATAGTTGCTCTGGGGAAATATAGTCATAGTAAACATATTATGATAGTCATAGCATATGCTTGAAGTTTATGTTTTTTTTTTTATATAAAAATTAAAATAAAATTTGATCCCTCTATTTTCGTTGTTAATTTCAGTTCATTTGTTTGCTTGACATTTGGTCTTTGATGAAATATTGATAACACACTGAAATAGAGTTTATATTAAGTACTGTACTATACAGAACTAACTAGCCATTGCCAAGACCTAAATATACGCAAAAAATCTCTACCATTCCCCCGAGATTTGAAATGATGATATAATTGGATTTTATGATTCTAAAAAAATAGGTGCTCTACACATGGCGTCCTATCAAGTGACAAAGATTCTTGGTAATGGCGGAAGATAGAAAAAGAGAAAGTCACCAAAAAAAGTAATGGTCCAACAAGCTAGGCTCGTCAGGCCATCGGGAGTGTTGCAGTAGCCTGTGATCCCCCACTGTTAAGAGAGGGAGGTTGTCGCTGCTCTGTGAAACCAGCCTCACGCTATACCCTCCACTCTAAGAGCCCAGAGACCTATGTTTTCACTTAAGTCCCCAAACTCAACTCTCAACTTGGAATGGGCAGGCAAACTTATTCCAACACAACGTCACCCACCAAACTTCAGTGTTGTTCCATCACAATAGAGCCCCCACTTGGGTCACAAGCTGGAGTGACTCAGCTCGGCAATCGAGCACACTTGTGAGTATGGTTATAAATACACGGTTGTTTCATTCTCTGTTGGATATGGGACACAAGTATGAAAAAACTATACAGTGCATCACTGACAATAACAACTTTGACAGAGTTGGTGTATCTCTTTACCTTTCTCCAAGATTTGAAATGATGATCCAGTTAGATTTTGCCTGTTATCCACACAATACTGATATTTTAACTGTTTACTAGTTTATGGTGTCAAATGACTAAGATATAATTTTGCTTCATTTTATTTTATTTTTTAACCTTTGTATCACTTTAAAGAAGGTGCAAAATCATGCATATTAGATATGATTATTTTGTTAATCTGTTACTCTTTATGCAGTAATCTAGGTTTTTTGGAACCCAATTTAAGATAATTTTCCTCTTCTCATTGTGGTTGAGAATATTGAATGTTGCATGGAATGAGATGCATACGTATTTTCTCTTCTCTTCTTCTTCTCTAATTGCGTATATCCTACTCTTTGTCATGGGTTATTACAAAACTTCTTTCTCATACCACACTTTTCATTGTATCAGAGTAAGTTGAATACCTACTCAGCTTCTTCTGCCATCTTTTTCTTCTTTCTTGATGCTAGTCTGCCCTCTAATCAATCTCTTAATCCATCGTGCCCTTACTATCTACCTCTTGAATAATGTAGTCTGATCTGCAGTTGCATTGTAGACATGGCTTTGCCACTTGTTGATAAGGTTTTATTTGATGAAATATTCCATTTAGTATTTTCCTTTCATTTTTTTAGGATATTAAATTGAAAGCACTCTTATAAATGAAAAAAAAAAACTAACAGAGAAAAAATATGATAAAAAAATATATATATATATATATATATATATAAATTATTAATTATATTAAAAAATATTATTTTTTAAATATTATTTTGTCTAATTATACTTGATAATTTTTAATAATATTTATATTCCAACTATTTTTAAGAAAGACGAAAGCCATAACGGCAGGGAAAGAGAGATGAGATAAGGAAAACAAAATCATATCAAAATAATCTAAAAACATATTTTCAACCTTATTATTTTATTTTATATTTAAAAAAATTGAATTAATTTTTAACAGCTACTAAACATAAATGCTGCTTCTTTGTCATAATTAACCGAATAATACTTTGAATAATTAAGATCAAACTTCTAACGAATTTATTTTTGAATAAAAAATATATATTTTTCAGCACAAATTTAAAAATAAATTAAATGTTATAGATATAAATTAATAAGAATGACCCGTGTGTAAAAATAAAATAAATAATAATATAAATAAATAAAATTAAAATATAGATAATGAAGAATATAATTATAAAAAAAGAGTATATAATTGAAAATAAGTTAAGTAATATAAACACAAATAAAAAGTAAAATAAAAATAAGAACATAAACAATCATAATGAATAATCATAATAAAAATAAATGAATATATTTTTAATAATTAATTTATATATAAAATAAATAAATAGACCTTTTATTATTTATAGAATATATAAATATACAACTCTTATGTTTGTAACAAAGTAGTTATATCAATTCCATTTTCTTAACATTTTCCTAAATTATTCTTTTTAGGAATTTGATGTCAAAACTAAAAGAGAATATTAAATAAAACACCAACTACGAAATTATATATTTTAAGAATTGTTTAGTTGAAAGATATAATTAGTAGAAGAAAACTGTAATTTTTTTAATTTACAAATGATAACTAGTCCAATAAATATAATAATCAAATAAGAACAATAGTCAGTAGATATCCACTTTATTATATATAATTAGAAACTTAAAATTTTATCAATAATTAGAAAGAAAAATGAAAAAAATTAATTTTTTAATAATCACTTGTTTAAACTGAAACATTAGAGATTTCAATTTAATTCGTTATATATATATATATATATATATATATATATATATATATATATATATATATATATATATATATCCCTATTCATTTTCTTAAATTACATGACGAAGAAATATTGAAAGATTTATAAATATCTTTCCACTCAACGTGTAGATGAATGATGTCAACGTTTTCTTAAAAAGTAATACTTCTCGTCTATATGTTTGTTTCTTTCGTGTAATACTGAATTTTTGAACAATTTAATAGCTTATTTATTATCATAGAATATTGTAGTTACAGGTTATTTTTTGAAATTTATTTTTCAATAATTCTTCTTTAAATGACTTGACATAGTTGTAGCAACAACAAATTCAACCTCACCCAATTTGATAAAATAACAATAGGTTATTGTTTAGATGACTGTGTTTCCAACATGAATATATAACTAGATGCACTTTTGGAATAAATCCTAATAAATTGGATTTTTCATCTATTTTATAAAATAACCAAAATCTTTTGAAATAAATCCTAATAAATTGGATTTTTTTATCTATTTTATAAAATAACCAAAATCTTTAGTTTTTTGCAAATAATGAAGAATTTTCTTTGCAACCAACAAATACATTTCTATATGATTATCTATATATCTACTTATTATACTTATAGAAAATATTATGTTCGGTTGTGTTGTAGTTAAATACATCAAATTGCTAACAATTTGTTTATAAAAAGTGTGTTGTAAATCGTCTTTCCTTCATGATCTTTATGAATCTTTAGACTATGCTCTTCTGGAGTGTTTAACATTTTAAAATCCTTCATTTGAAATATATTCAAAGCATTTCACATTTATTTTGACAGATATTTGTTAAATTATTGGCAAGCATACCAAAATAATCAATCACAATATAGTATTTCGATTAAATAAAATTCGATCATACGAGGAATGATTTCAATGGAAATTCCTAATTATATGCTTAATAAATGGATTAAACCAGAATGAATTTTGCATAAAGAGTTGAAGTGAAATTAAATGACAAAGAACTGTAAATTGTTTAGAAAAGATCAATTAAAGACACTTAGGATTGGTTTCCCTTCCTTTTCCCTCTTTTGCAATGACTATGTTCAATTAAGATCATCAATTAACTTAACAATGTTGATGTCACCTACTCAAATCATCCATGTTGATTTCTCACACATGAAATTCATAAGAAAACTTAATAAATATTGGTTTCGCACACAATTAAGAGATTTTTCAGCAGTAAGTTTAAGGTGTTAAGCAATTAATACATTTATTCCATTCATGGCAATTAACATAACAAATATTCTTATCATGATCTAGGGTTCAAGATATATTTTTCAATCATACCCCAAATATCAAGAATAAATCATTCCAAGGCACAAAAGATAAGAATAACAACATCAAAACATAAATTAATATATCAAAATATAACTAAGATACAAAAGAGTTCAAAGGAAGTGCACTCAATCCCAACAGAATGAAATTAGTCACTCATGATGACCATTACAATGCTCCAAATGAGGAAGAAGTGAAGAATTGATGAAGATTGGACGAAACCCTAGCAGTAATCATGCATCTTCTCTCCAAAAACGCCTCCCTCTTTTCAAAACTCGTCTTATATTTTTATAGGAGAAATTGAGCTTTTGGGTTTCGTGTCTTTCGCTCAAGCGACAACACTCGCTCAAATAAAAGTTCCCTATTTTCGCTCAAACGACAAAATGCTCGCTTGAGCGAGTGAGTTCCAGAGAAGAATAACTAATTTTCGCTCAAGTGAAATTAATGGCGCCTGAGCGACTGACTTCCAGAGAGGTTTAACTGATTTTCGCTCAAGCGAGAGTCTATCTTACTCAAGCGACTTCCATGCTGAAAATCTTCTTCCTCCTTTCAGTTTTGCTCCAATTATGTTGACAATTATGCCTCTTACTCTTGTATCAAGGTATTCTCAAATTCATCCTACATTGGAAGAAAAATAGATTAGAATTGACATAAGTTAAGTGATTTCATAATAATTAAAAGCATAATTATATCAACTTTTTACCACTTAACAACTCTCCCAAACTTAGAATCTTGCTTGTCCCAAGCAAAGTAATTTTTCCAAAACAAAATCATCATCTATTATTACTTTCTCTTCTATAACCACAACATAAAAAATACTTTTTCTTCCAGATGCGATGCTCACAATTCCAAATGAAAATAGAATATATAAGCATTCAAGTTACAGAAACTAACAAAGGAAAATTAATCATCAACTATCCTCAGAGAAACATGATCTCTCACATAGAGTGATATATAGTCATCTCTAACTTTCAAGGGTAAGTGTTTATCTTATTCAATCACTTCATTTAGACAATCCAATATTGATAGTCATCTTTAAGCAATTAACATTTGTTAAGCAAGACTAAAATCAAAAGGTCTTTTGAGATTTGTAATGAGGTTGAGCTAAGAAAGAATTCATTAGTTTTTTTGAGATATACAAAAGTATTTGAGAAATTCAAATCATATGAATGATTCTTGTTTAACATTTCCTCAAGTCGGATTTCAGACTTCATGTTTTTGCTCCAACATCAAGATAGTGCATTAACAATCTCACTAGTTATCATTCACACCACTTTGAATTTCTTTTTCCTTTCCTCATGCTTTACATTTATCATTTCGGCTTAGCCTCAACTTTTATGTTTTTCTTTTCCCTTTTTCTCAATCTCTTTTTCTCCTTCCTTTTTTCTTTTTGGAATACCCAATAATACCCGTAGGAAAACACTAGCAATACCCAACAATACCTATAGGAAAACTGATAACATTCATAATCATTTCATTTCTCAAATATAGGAAGGTGGATAATTATTGTTTAGGCTCAAGGGTTCTGTTTAAGAAAATATCTTGTTTTTTGCTCAAATGGGGTTCAATTGGATGTCCTATAATTAATGCAGGGTTGACTATTTGGCTCTGGGTTATATCTACTACACAAGAAAAATGTCTTTATCATTTTCAAGTCTCACTAACATGCAATCATATCAAAGAATCAATCAATATCAGTTATCATCATACAGTGTTGACACTCAATTTGAACGGTTTATGGTACTCTACTCACTGTTAAGTGGTAAAAAGTTGATATAATTATGCCTTGAATTGT